GACGCTTAAGCGCACCGTTGGCCAGGCCCAGACTCAGTTCAACGGCGGCAGTCGAACGCGCAGCACGAAGCTATTTTGTTGGTACGGCGAGCGCATTAATGCTGCCATAGTCAGCAGAGAAGTCGAGCAAGAAGAGGAAGCGAAACGCGCCAAACAAAAGACTTAGACGACAAACTTGAACTTGTGTAGTGCAGTGCAATACTTCGTATGTATCCAAAGGAGTCGACTGTCTCTCTGTGTGTGTGTGTGTGTGTGTGTTATCATTAATCGTTAATCGCTAATCGCTAATCGCTAATCGATAATAGTTAAGTGTTGTTGCCCTACCTCAACTCAGCCAACGGCCACAGTTGAGTCACGTTTACTCGATGCTTAGCCCTAACTATGTCAAACCTAATATTGTTTAACTTTACGCTCGAATGCCAATGTAAACAGTTATAGTTAAATATGTATGCATTCGTGTGTGTAGGCCTGTGTCTCTGACTTGGCATATTAGTTCCGTTTACTGCCCTGCCGGCTTACATAAGGGGTCAAGTGAAATTTGGCGTTAAGTTTCAATTTGCACGCATGCACAAAGTGAGATGGCAGAAACTCATCTCGATCACGTTATCAATGGCTCATCTGCCAGTCCGCTCTCTCCCTCTCTCTCTATCTCTCACTGCAACTGAGGCAACTCTCCCTCTCCCTCTCTCTTTCGTGGCTTTTCACAGATCATTTCGCTGCTCGTTTTTAACTCTTCGACATTTTGGTCTCATTTATTTATCTTTTTTCCTTCTTCTTCTTCAATATTTACCTTTTTTGTTTTGATCGCCGCTTACGTAACGGCTCGCATAGCGGTATACGGAGGCAGCTCACGTCGCATACGCAGTCTGCCTGCTCGTTTTATCAGCTTCAGCCTGAGTCTCAGAGGCTGCTGCCTGGTTTTGCTTGTCGTTTGTGTTTTTGCAGTTGCCTGCGCTCTCCTGCTGCACTCTCTAAGCCACTGCTTTCTGCCTGGATTGGCTCATTTGGCATCTGGCCAACTGCTGCTCTCTCCTTTTACAAATGCTCATTGCAAAATCGCAAAATCAGCGCATTCTGTTGTTGTGTCTCCACAGTGAGTGCAATATTGCTCCAAGCTAATTTCCATACGAATGCGAAGACTACGACGAATACATATTCATACGCAACTATGTATTTATGATTGGCATAGCCACAGCTGACGTCGCTCTCTCTCCCTCTCTCTCTATCTAAGAGTTGAATGTATTTCATTTATTCAATTGGATCTTTCTCTTTCCCTCTCTCTTTCTCTCTTTTTGCTGTCTGCAGCTGGTCAAACAACTTTCCACGAAAGTGCAAGTGTTTCCTTAGCATTGTTTGCCGCGGACCGTCAGCAGCGGCCCACAGCAACGGCAATGTCGTCGCACTTGGCTCAAGTAGGAAGTGGGTTAGTGGTTTAAGCATTGTCTGCCCCTGCCCCTGCCCCAGCTCCCCTTTGTTATGCACTGTCTGAAGAGACTTCGCTGCTTCTTTTTCGCTAGGCACAAGCCAGTGGGCGTGCCAGCCTCCGACGCTATTTTTGTTGCTAATATTCAATACACGCGTATTGTGAAGCATTTGCCAGTCATAAGCCAAGCAGCAATAAATGTATTTATATAAAACGTCGTCTCATCACTGCTAGCCGTAAACAAGTTTGTTGCCCAAGTCATTTAGTAGTTGGCAACTTCGCCATCAGACGCTGACCGAGCTATTCTTGGTTCCAGCAGTGTTGATTCAGGAAGAGGAAGAGGAAGTGTCGCCCAGACCGATGCTAACAAGAAATTAACATACGAGATTCTGCTCCCCTAGTCTGAATACTGTGAATCAATTAGATCATTGTAACTAATATCGTCGCAGCCTTCCGCTGGGCTTCCGGCTTGCCTTATGCTTCTCTAATTAAGTCCAGCTGCCATTGAACCAGCTGTTAATGGCATCACACGCTGCGGAGAGTGGGCGAAGCAACGACATCGCATGCATAGCTAATTTATGATACGCCCCGGGAACAAGCAAATATTTGGTTGCGGCTTGAGCGATGCTGCCAAAGGCGCGCATTGACCTCAAAGCAGCAGCGCAGCTGGCAGCTGGCAGCTGGCAGCAGGCAGCACAGAATTGAATAATGTCTGAATTAGCTTAATGCCAGCACTGAGCAAGACAGCACGAGGCAACGCGCCGGCAAAAGTCAACAAATTCGAATATAATATAAGCCAATTAAATGTAAGACAATGCCGAGCGAGTCTCTGCAAAACTGAGTCAAGTGGCTCATGCTTAGCTCAGCTTAGTTCACAGCTGTAGCTGCCAGCGCGCTTGTTGACATTCGCGCTTGGCCCTGACCAAGAAGTAGTCTGAGAAGCGCTGCGACGCGCTCGGCACGGTTCGGTTCGGTTTCGTTCGGTGCGTTGGCAAACACACATTATTGCTGTAGACAATCGACTAATGCATTATTATTCGTTTCTATTTGCTTAGTCGCAGTCCAAGAGCAAGTTCAACATGATACACAAAAGACACTCGCATCCGCTGCTAGCCCTGGCGCTGCTCCTCATCTCGCTGCTGCTGCTCTGCAATGAAGCGGCTTCGATAGCCATCGCTCCCTCAACGTTTGGCACTGCCATCGCCCGAGCTGGAAAGATTTCGAATACTTTAAAGGTAAGTCGATAACCGAATACTTGTGCCAGATGTGTGCATGGGTGTGTGTCTGTGTCTGTCTCTGTGTGTGTGTGCCCAAACAAAGAAGCAACCGCGAAGCGTGCCAGAGCCGAAAAAGTTGCTTACAACGTAGTTTGGCTTGAAGTCTTATCTGCTGCCTCTGCGGCGTGTGACTTTGACATCGTGTCGCAAATTTGTTGCCGTTTCAAAAGTAATTCAACACCTAAGCAGTCGCCGGGGCTACCAATGCCCAGCCTCAGCTACAGGTAGCCGCGCATGAACGCCGAGCTATTGTCTTAAGCACTCTGACGGCTCGACTGTGAATTATTGCCTCTAAAACGCTTTGCGCCTGCATTTACAGGTGGCTGTTAATGTATTTTATGGACTTGTGCATACGTTGTTGGCCACAACAGAAAGCCATTCTCAGTGCGCCATTGCGGCAATGTGACCCGTGCTTTATGAGCCGCATAGAGCCGCAAATATTTTCGTTGCTGTTCAATTGGTTTTGGCCATGGATTTTTAGAATCGCCGTCCAACGCGTGTGAATGACACCCGACTGCACACATGGAATCAGCTCTTGAATGCTGCTGTCCGAGGCACAATACATTGCCAATGCCACAAGCATCCAACCAATCTATGTTTACTTATGCTCAATATGATTTCTATATATTTGGCAAGCTCATTAAGCTGATGAGTAAATGAGATTTTGGGCATGCGTTAAATAAAACCTGATTCAAGCCGAAGCTGCTCTAGTCCAAAATTTAAATTTTTACTACGCCCTAAAACGTAAACTAGAGCGACAGCAGCAGCAGCGGAAAAGAAGCAAATCATTGTGGGATGCAATCAGACTGATTCAGGTTCCCACAGAGCTAAATTTATTACAAAATCGATACGTTCCGATTTGCCAATATATAACTTGACTGTCGATCTACCTGAGAAGGGCTCAACAGTGATTCAACTGCAAAGCGTGGAGATTGTCGCTGCAGCCGAGGCAAACATTGTGTTTCCGAGTGCTCACGCCCCAAAGCAAATGCAATCTTAAACTATAATCAATCTACAGAAGAGGCCAATAGCCGTAAAACTTTAAAAGATGAAGTCTATTAAGAGACTAAGAGTTTAGTTAAATTTAAATAAGTTAACAAGAGTTTGAACTGCTTTAATTCGATTCAAACTTAAGACTCGACTGCAGAAGAAGTTGGCAACGATAGCGTCGATGCTGGCTGATGCTGACAAAGCTCAAGATCTGCCTGATGGCTTGAGCTTACTCTTTGCTATCTTATGAGTTACGCTTGCTCGCTTCATCCAACTCCTTGTCTATAGTCTAATGCTAGGGTATTCGAGTGTATATTACACAAATCTCAGCTCTCTAGTTTCAATAACTCATTAGATAACAGCAATCGCGATTGGCCACGCCATCAGTGGGCGTATAAAAAAATGCTTCACACATTATAAGACGCAGGTGCCAATGAGTAGATGATTCAAATTTCAAGTCTTTAGTTTCAATGGCGCGAAACAATTTGCTTTTATACAGATCGACAAAGCAGCGAAGCATTGTAAAAACTAATATACTCTTTTTAGTATGAAAATATTTTGTCTTTTGTGGAATAGCGAAATCAATTCTTTCTTAAACCTAATCTCAGCTGATAGATACCTGCCTAATGGAACGTTAAGGGAACTTAATCGTAGAACTTTGAGTAAGTTTTAAGTATATGAAATAATAAAGTTTGTGTATTCGCCGGCTATTGTAGGTATATTATTTAACTCTGCCACAATACAGAGTTTCCACTCTGCAGCCAATGCTATATTGGATATGCGAAGAGTTAAGTCAGGTGAGCCGAATTGCCAACTCTATATACCCAATCTCTGTGTGTGCCTAACCCAAGTCTGATTATCAGCTGAGCTCAGCTGGTGTCTGTACATATGTAAATACACATATATAAATATTTATATATATTTATCTGTTTATATTTAGTAATTAAAGTCAAACTGAGTTAATTATTTAAGCTGCAGATCACATTATCAAATTATGTACTTGCTACAATTATAAATTGCAATTAAGTGAATAATTGTGAACTGGGACTGCAACATTTCCGCTCGCTCTCAGTTAACATTGAATGATAGCCGCTTATCAGCTGCAAGTTAACAAGTAAAGCAGCTCCAGCAACAACAGCAACTGCAGCTAAAACAATGCCAACGTCTGCACTCAGCCATTGCGTGCTGCACATAACATAAACAAAAGGCAAAAAAAGTACAAAAATTATTACAAGCACTAAAAATAATAGTACCAAAATATATATATAAAATGTATAAATATAGAGTTATATACTTGGCACACAAATTGAATAACAAGACTTGCAGCTCTAACTGCGACTCAAAGCTCTATCGACGGCCAACTGTAGCAGACGCAAGTACCGTAGAGCTCGTCCCTTGGCTTACTTGAAGTGTGTGCAGCTAGTCGCTGCTGTGTGCCAATAGGCAGCAAAGTTGAGACAAAGACAGACAAGCGGAGTTCAATAAATCAAAGTTGAGTGTTTCGCATTTGTGGCACAGTTGCAAGTTGCAGGTTGCAGATTGCAGCTTGCAGGTGGCTGGTGGCTGGTGGCTGGTGGCTGGTTGCAGTTGACAACGTTCGCATTGTTGCACAAACGCCACGCCCATGGCCTGTCGCCGCTATGCGCCCTACGTGCTGGCCAGCGTCGCTGTCGTGCTGGCCTCTGCTCTAATTATCTTTGGCATTTGCATGCACCGCTCGCTCGACCCGACCAATATATTGAAAGTTGAAAAGAACTCCGACTCGGCTCAGAATTTCGAGAGTTTCTTCAGCGACGAGCTAGAGGCTGTGCTGCCCAATGATGACATGCTAGACTCAACGACAAATGCACAATTCTTGATTGGCACGACGGCAACGACAGCCACAACTACCGAAAGCGCGGCTTCCGGGTCGTCGCACAATCCAAGCAGAATGGAACTGGAGCATTCTACGACCACAACTGAGGTTTGTTTTCAATAATTTTTTGTTACTTTGTTGAATTGTAAAATATTTATGCAATTTGCTTTGTCTGTCTGTTGCTGTTGCTGTTGCTGTAACTTTCTACATTGCATTAGCTGGCGATCTGCTGGACTGCAGTTATTTTGTATTTATATTAATATTTCGAGCGTAGCGTGAAAGCGCCCATGAGCTCTGGCTGTTGCTGTTGTTGTTAATGCTGTTGTCTTTGCGCTTACATAATATTTATGTATTGTAAATGGCATCATTTGCGCACGCTTGCGTTGAGTTAATGGCTTAAATTGTCAGTTGCATCTGTACAATAAAAAAAAAAGCAGCTTGAAAGAGATGAGCCAGGGTCTCAGGGCTTGTTAAGCAGTTGTGCCTAATCAAACGATGGGAAGAAACTAATTTAAATTCTAATTAGCTGTAAATATTGCCTTAAACTAATCCACGGAATTGCACAGCTTCATTTGATTTGATCACTGCTATACAGTTATAAATATTAAGTGTTTTATGGCCGTGCAGCGGAATTAAGCCAAAGCCACAGCCACAGCCACAGCCACAGCAAATCAATTTGAATAAAGCTTTGGCTACGCCCACATTTGCATAACTTTGTGGCGCAGAGACTGTGGGAGAGCCACGCACATAGCGGGTCAAGTCTCTAGGCAGACCCAAAGATATCAGATTGAAGAAAATGTGATATTAGCATAATATGGTTAGCTCATAAAAGGTGAACTTGAAACTAACTGGAGCTGTGTGCTTGGCCTAACTGTGTCATGATTCACTGTGAGATACAGATACAGATACATTTCAGCTGGGGACACACGCCGGCTAATGCGACAGCTGACAGACAGCTATTCACATACTCACATATGTATCACCAGATATATATATATATATCTAACAGTTAAGCGTTGGCTGCACGTGACTGCTGCCATTGTTGTTGGCACTTAACTGTTTCGTCTGTTGCCGCCTCTAGCAGCGCTCTAAGAGCTCCGTTTTTTGGTGTTATGCAAATGGCATTTCAATTAAACGAAATTTGCCTGGCCACAAGGTTGCCCGTTAACATCATTAAAACAACAGACAACCAACACACACACACACACACACACGCACACACTCACACTAATCCACAGCAAAATTGTCAACATTAATGCAACTCTCGCAGTGAACTTGAGAGTTGTGTTTGCACAAGGCGCGCTGGTTTGCTTGCAAATTGCTATTAATCCAACAAGTAAATGTGACCTTTGTTATTGCAGGAGACGACGGCCTGGAAAACGCTGACCTCGCATCCGAATTCGCTGGTGCAGCTGCTGCCATCGCGCGCCATGCGTGTGGTGCAGGAGGTGGTGCGATCTCTACGGGTAAGCACAGGTGGCAACTCGACGACCTTGAAGCGCACATACCAAATATTGCATCAATTGCCAAATCAAGCTCCGAGTCGCGCCTCTAGATCTAGCAGCAGCTGCTGTAACTTGGCTGAGGTCAAGTCTAAGTCGATGCAGCTTGCGGTTGGCAGTTAGCAGTTGGCAGTTGGTCAAATGGCTTCAAGAACAAAGAAAGAGTCGCTGCAGTTGCGGCCTGAATACAAACTGTTCATAACTGGCTTTTTGGCCATTTGACGATTGCGCAACGTTTGCACCATGGCCTAGTTGTAAACGCCAGCGCTGTCCAAGATTAATGCAAAATTCTTGCAGAACTTGTGCAAGAATTACACATTCTAAGTATCTCGCTTAGATGCTTGGCAACTTTGCATGGTGCAAATTCGTAAAAACATTTGAGTTGCCATTCAAAATTGACTTTTTCAAACAGCACGTTCTTTGCATAGAGGAGAGGAGAAGAAGTTCCCACGCTTACACGTATTTATCGTGATTTATTAAAACTTGTTTAACTATGCATTTGCAGAAGGAACGCGAAATTGTGGCCAGCACCACGTTAGGCAAGGTGCGCGGTCGCTATCAGAAGTATCGCTCGGGGGAGCGAGGCGGCTACTACAGCTTCAAGGGCATGCGATATGGTGTGGCGCCAATTGGTGCTAGAAGGTGAGTACAATCGCTTAGCTCAACAAAAACAGTCCCTTGAGCATTCCTTCCGTGCAGATTCCGCGCTGCGCTGCCAGAGAAACCATGGAGCGGCGTGAGAGATGCCTCCAGAGAGGGTCAAAGCTGCCCGCACAAGAACATGATCCTGGACACGTTTAAGGGCGACGAGGACTGCCTCTATGTGAACGTGTTCACCACGCGCATGCCCAAGGAGGATGAGTAAGCAGAGCTAGTCGAGACGTTAGCTACGTGTACCCAATTGAACTGTTTTCCTATTCAGAGCACAGCCCAAGCTGCCTGTGATGGTGTGGCTGCATGGGGGCGGCTTCTCCTTTGGCTCCGGCAACTCGTTTCTTTACGGGCCAGACTATTTGGTTGCCGAGGATATCGTGCTAGTTACTTTGAACTACAGACTAGGACCGTTGGGCTTCCTGACAGCTGGACCCGATGCGCCGGGCAATCAGGGCCTCAAGGATCAGGTGCTGGCGCTGCAGTGGGTGCGCGATAACATAGCTGCGTTTGGCGGTGATCCCGGGCAGGTGACAATCTTTGGCGAGTCTGCGGGAGCATCGTCGGTGCAGCTCTTGCTGCTGTCGCCTTTGGCTAAAGGCCTATTCCATCGCGCCATCTCACAGAGCGGCTCTGCACTGAATCCTTGGTCCATGGCCGCTAGCTCGGGCCAGAGAGCGGCACGACTGGCAGCCAATCTCGGCTATGTGGGCGCCAACAATACCGAAGAGATCTTGGACTTCTTGCGACGAGTGCCAGCAATGAAGCTGGTCGAGGCTGCGCCCACAACTCTCACAGCTGAGGATCAGCGCAACAATATTGGCCTGCCCTTTGTCCCTGTCGTGGAGGGATATTGGAACAGAGACTTACCGCAGGAATCATACCTGGAACAGCCCTTCCTCACCGAGCACCCCAGCGACATGTACGAGGCGCACAACTTCAACAGCGAGGTGCCCTACATGACGGGCTACAACACGCACGAAGCGATGCTGTTTATCAGAAGTGAGTGGCGCAGCTGCTCCAGCATCTACTGGTACTAATATACAACTTGTTTCTCCGATAGGATTGCGCAAGAACCCGCAGCTGCTGGGTATTATAGAGAACGACTTTGGTCGCCTCGTGCCGCATGATCTGAACGTGAGCCACGCCCATGACAGAGTTACTCGTGAAATACGCTCCTTTTATCTGGGCAACAAGCACGTCGGACTCGAGTCTGTGGATGAAATGATAGCAGTACGTAGAGCTTACCTCTTTAGATATGCTTTTGGCTAATGATCGACTTCCCCTTAGCTCCTAACTGATCTCATGTTCCTGCAAGGCATCCGCCGCACCGCTAGGAACCATGCCAAGTACGGCAATGCGCCCGTCTATATGTATCGCTTCTCCTTCGATGGCGCGCTGGGCCTCTACAAACGCATGCTGGGCATACCACGGCCGGGTGTTTGCCATGGCGATGAGATGGGCTATCTCTTCAAGTTTGGCTTCCTGAACCTGAGTCTAGATCCGAAGTCCATGGAAGTGCTGGTCAAGAACCGCATGGTGCGCATGTGGACAAACTTTGCCAAATACGGGTAACATTTCCTGCGTTCTTGATGCAATACAGGATACTAACTAAAATGGCTTTTCAGTACGCCTACGCCCAACTTTGAGGATCCCATGTTGACTACCAAATGGGCTCCTATCGATGCCTCAAATGTTATGAACAGTCTCAACTATTTGGACATCTCGCACGAGCTGAATATGAAAACGAATCCCGAACCGGAGCGACAGAGATTTTGGGATGAAATGTATCAGCATTACAATGGTGCGGCTATGTAGTGCTTCCAGCTATGAGCCACATATATATTTAGGCATCAACCACGCACATTGCTCACCCAACCACACTCACAAACACAAACACGTACACATACACATACACATACACACATTTTGTATAAATTTTGCCATTTTGTGAAGAGAGTGAGCAGAAAAGAATATTTAATGCAAATTTCATTGTAAAATTATCGTAGACCGTAGTAAGTAGCTAGTAGTTAAACATTTTCTTAGTAAATAGCTTGTACATAAGTGTCGCAGCATTTATACACGACTAAACAAACGTACAACGTCACTTGCCCACACCAATACCCACAACACACACACAAATACGTAGCCTAAGCATTCTACTTATAGCATACCCAAAGCCCAACAACTTTTCCTTACTTCATATATGCAATATCAGGTGTAAATAGTCAAAGTTAAAAAATATTCGATATTCAATTTATTATATCCTAAGCACATCGAAGTCCATAATTCTGTTCGCGTGAATCAGTTTGAAACACGTATTATTATTTGTGTACAATAAATCAAAATATCTTTAAAATCTTTGTTTGTTTTTGTGTTTAGGTGATGCTATTGTTATTTACGACGAGAGTCAGTGTAGTTAAAAAAGAATAAACGGAATTTTATGCTTATTTTGAACACCACAAAATAAAATAAAACAAAATAATTAACTATATTGAATAGGCTGGTCATGGTTCGAGATGCAAATGTCAGACCAATGCTGCACATATTGAACTGAGCAATAAAAAATGTTGACCTTACGCGACCATATGAATGATGCATACCTCAATGTGAAATGGCAGAGAGATGGCCTCTGATTAAACCTACAACAAATTACATATGTCAAGCGCTTATCTGTTAGAGCTGGTTTTAATACCTAAAAACTAGTATAAGTACATATATAACAAAATGGATTGAGATAAAAATTCGTTAATTCTGAAGTGTAGCATACTTTTGTGCGGCGCGGAGAATTGCAAGCAAAGTCGCTAGAGGGCGCTTTAGCAAAGGCAGTAAGCATAAGCATATTTTAGGGGCATCACGATTAATTTGAAAAGAAAACTGTGCTCATGTTTTCGCTGGCATAGTTTTCATTGAAAAAAATGTTATATATATATATATTTATAGTTCTTGTGCTCAATTTATTTAAATTTCTTTAATATTTGTTATACATTTTTACTAAACATTGACAAAAAAAAAAAAAATTAAAACTATTTTTTTGTTTTGGATATTTTTGATCCAAATAGCTGAACTATGCATATAATTATTTTTGTGAGCATATTAAACTCCCAAAAGAAGAAATCCCATCAGGCAAATTAAAGAGTTAGCTTAAAACAGACGCAAATTGGCGCTAGTCAATACATTACACACAAATTAACACACGACTATAGCGTGTCGAGATAGCAAAGTGTCCAATGATTGCATACAAATTTGCACTTGGCGAGAACCTGCACACACACACGAGCAACGAAGCTGCGACGCATGACCCAGCATCAACGGATTGTGGAGGTGTGGGGTACGTAGAAGCCAGGCGCACGGCCTCCGTCTGTGCCTGTGCCTGTGCATAACTTGCGGTTGCTCTCTCACTGTCATGCGGCGTAACTAAGCTGATTATTCAATTATCACAGCTGCTTGGGTGCTCTTCATCAGTGCTGTTGCCGCTGCCATTCACAATTTAGAGTGACATAATTTACGCGGTTGCTGTTAGCATTAGCCTCCCCCAACCCCAACTCAACGTTAATCTTGCGGAATACAGAAGAGTATTGTACGTGAACTGCCGCATAGATACAGGGCACTGGATTCAGTTTCAATAGACTGAAAGCTTCGATCAGTTACAATCCAAAAGTCAGAAAATATCAACAGATTAGTCACATACTTGCTTCGAGCAACTGCCCAAAAATATTCAGATACTTATCGTATTCCCGATGTCCCGTTCCAGCTCAATAGAACACAAAGCTCGGAATTCAGTCCAATCACCCCTCCCGGTACGTCAGATCCAACCATGTGAAGCCATCTGTCCACTGGCCCGGCGTCTGCCGGTTAAGGCACTGCGTGCTTGTTTTTTGCGCAACATGAATCAACATTTTGGCGGCGTTTCGTTGCCCGTGTCCAAGAAACGGTACCAAGCATTTCAGGTGCTGCTGGAGGCAATAACAGTGGCATTTCGCCCTCATGTTTTCCTCAAGTCAGCTATAACCCGCATTTACCGAATCAATGGCACCCAACTGCTATCTATAGACGACTTCTACGAGGGCGACATTGTGATCTGCTGCTGTCAGTACGAACCCTTCGTGGATGTGGGCTACAACGTCAGTACGCACTATATGCGGATACTGGGCTCTCTCATTCGAATGCGTGGCAAAATGGTGCCAATTGAAAAGAAAGTGGTTCCCCAAACAGACGCTGATGGCATTATTAACTACGACAGATCGCGGCTGCCTCAAGCCATACTTTTATACATAGACATAACCAAGCCAATCTGGGTAAACAAGTCGACGGTCATATTCGAGGGATCTGGCAGAGCCCGAAAGGATAAGCATTATATCATCAAAATGGTGGACAAGGAGCACATGTGTTCGCGAACAAATGGCACCTACTTTGAGATTGAAATCTTGCGTAAGCTGCAGGATCACCCGAATATCATCGATCTAATATACACTGTGGAGCAGCTCAAATACATTTACATTGTTATCGAGCGGCTTGAGTGTGATCTGTTTGAGCTCCTGCAGAGAAAGAAACGTTTTCCGGAAACGCTGGTCAAAAAAATTATGGGGGACGTGAGCAAAGGTCTGGCGTATATTCATGCTTGTCAGATAATCCATCGAGATTTGAAGCTGGACAATTTATTAGTGCAATTCGACTTCTCGGTACCCTTAGATCCCGTAGTGAAGGTGATCAAGATAAGTGACTTTGGCTTGGCCACTTATTACAAGGGTCGAGAGCTTTATCAATGTTGCGGAACGCCACACTATATGGCGCCTGAGCTGATTAACTTTACGGGGTATGAATTTTCTGTGGACTTGTGGTCGCTGGGCGTCACATTCTACTATATGTTGTTCGGTCGGCTGCCTTTCGCGCATTCCGAGAGTGATCCCGTCACTGTTCAGGAGTTCATTCGAAGGAATAACTACCAAATACCGCCCGACTGGAAGATGAAGATCAGTCCTCAGGCGCAGCAGCTTGTCAAATCACTTTTAGTGAAGTTGCCGCAATATCGATTGTCGGCTATCGAGGTTTGCCAACACCCATTTCTACTGAACAGGCGAAGCGGTTCTTTATAAGTTTAGAAGCTGTCAGAAACTTCACTCTTTTACTCATTTTAAATTATTGACCCCACGCCTCAAAATAATTGAAAAACAAATGTAATAAATTTATGATGCGTGACTTTGACTAGCCATTCTTTAGCTTCCGCCTTCCAATTGAATCTAATAGAACAAATTTATGATATCCAAAGGTAAAAACAAGCTCGTTCGCAGAACGCAGAATGCAACTACCAGGCGTTCGTTGAGCCTTGTGCAATCAGCGAGGCGTAAATATTCAATCATCACGTATACGCCTTGTGCTCTATTAAAGATAGCAAATGGCTTGTGATGTATTGCTCCCGCATTCAGCTATTTGTTGTCGAGCATCCAGATACACAAATATATTTAAGGGGCTGTTTACATGATCACAGCGAGAAAGTGCATAGTAAATATTACGTATTCACTGACCTTGCGACATAACATTGAGTGGCAAGGTCACGCCCGCTAAAAGTAGCGACTTTTTCCACTTCTTCTGCGCATTGAAACATCAAATACAGATAAGTATAACTTATCGCGCTTATCTTCCGCCTCGTTTTCAATTTAAAAATCATTTCAATTGAACTTTTCTCGTATCAACGTATCAACGCGACAATTTTATCTGGCTGTGTGCGTATGTGTTTTGGCATTTGTATCTGTGAGAGAGCATCAATCTGCAGTCTGAGTGGGAGCTGACAGTGTGTGTGTGTGTGTGTGTGCGTAACTGAGCTCATTTACAGTGCGCCGCCTTTTGTTCACAACTTTTGTTTAGTTTGATATATTTTTTCTTGCCGTCGCAGTCGTCGTCGCCGTCGCTGTCGCCGTCAACGTCAACGTCGGTCGAGCCGTCATTTAATCCGTTGGCCCGACTTACGAAGTAGCTTCTGTGGCGTTGTCATCGCAGTGTCGCTTTGGATTTCCGTGGATAGTTTCAGCAGCAGCTTCTGTTGTTTGTGTTTAGCTCTGTGTGCAGCTGCCCGAACTGCCCTGTCTGCCCTGTCTGCCCAGTACTCTGCTCATTTCTGGTTCGGCGCGCGTTCACAAAACAAAGCTCAATTTTAGCGGCGTGCGTTTGCCACACATCATACATACCACATCAAAATTTGACTAAATTGCTAAAGATGTGCTAAAGTTTGTTTGCATAACAAAAAGAAAACAAGCAGAAAGAAAATCCGATATGCTCGTTTTAAAGGTGTCAATTTATTAAAAAGGTGCTAAAAAGCTTGAATCTCCAAAGAGCCAAAAATCGCTTAAAGGTCTGTTTACTCAACAGATATTTGATGTATTTTTATACAAGTCAAGTCTTTAAGTGCTATTCATAATAAAATGTATTACAAATAATATAAAAACTTCGAAATTAATTATTCTGTGTTTCGAAGTGAAACGTTTTTATAGCTTTTCAAATTAATCTATTCTCAACAAAAGTTTACATTATTCAAAAGTAAACTAAGTGATATAAAAGTGAAAAGCTTTCATGGCTGCAACGCTTATATATTCCGATATTATATATGACTATATTCATAAACAATTGATAACAAGCTGGTTGCAGTGCTTACGTTAACGTGCTCATCTTTTGTTTACGTTTCTAAATCTAGTTATGTATGATATATTTTTCGCACCTCGATGCGGTCTGCTCGCAAGTTTTCTGTTTGCTCACTTAGCACAACAGAAATAGCTAGCAACTGGCAAAATATTGTGATTTACACGTACCTAAAATGCCATCAACTGCCTTCCACAGATGCGTTTCAATTTTACAACTCACTCGGCGGCGACGACAACGCCAGCTGCAACGGCAACGACAACGGCGTCGGCCAGGTCCAATGAAAAGTCCGCAAAGCCGCTCAATAGACCAAAGACCATCGAAGAGGATCCCGATTCGCTGGACAGTGTGATCAGCAATCCGCAGTCGTATCCCATAACGATCGTGCCAAATCGTCCGGCCAGCTTCTATGGCCTCTCCTCAAATGGCAAAGCCTTTCAGCGACAGCCCAGTTGCAGGTAAGTTGGCTAAGGGGCGTTTACTTAGCAAGCCATTAGGGCTCTATTTACACTCGGTTTTGTGAGTTGCCTAAGTGCTGCAGTCAATAGATATTTATTAGTTAGTACTGCTCTAATTTATAGTCCAAACATTGTAAGCTGCTATGTGGATTTAATGTTGGCTTGAGATCAGTTGTGCCAGTCTCAACTTTAGTCAAGTTTTGTGCGCGGTGTGGCTTGGAACGTGTCCCGATGACCAGTATGCAAGTGCCTTTGACCGATGTGCAGGTCCTACAGGATGTTGCCGACGCGGACACCGGCGAGGCGGGCGACAAGGAGGAAACGTTTGCCCACATGAAGGAGTGGAAACGGCAGTATATGAGGGGCATTTCGCACACGCCCTCGCAGGCTGGCGTCTACTATGAGGCGCTCAAAGGATCCAGCCACTCGCTGGCTAAGGGGTGCGCATTCCAAGTCACTTGCATAACGACTGTTTGTGCCTGACATTCAACTTGAACTTGCAGATGTGTGTGTGTGTGTGACAGATACAAAAGTCTAAAATTACGATTTATCTTACTGATTAGCAGTGCGACGGTTATTTGATTTTAAGTGCTCCGTGCGCCGTTTGCGGTTGTAATTTATACAGACGCCCACGCAGTCGCTCAGCTAGTTGCATTTTTACACAAGTAACAAGCATTATCTAAACGAGAAGTCGCTCAAACGTTTCCCTATCTGGGTTTCGGCGTCTAGCGGACAGTCACAGACCGACGTCGGCTCATTAGCCAGTCCATTCAAATGCTGTCCCACTGCCGCATTATACACCTGTCAAAGTGAAACGCCCCATGACTTAAACAGATTTTCAAAAGCTTTTCAATGGAGGCATTTCTCACCCGTTAAACGATCTGATTTAAGTTATTGGCCCATCTCTATCACATGCACGATTTATCAATCAATTGTGCTCACATTTTTCCCACACGTGAGCGATTATGAAATCATTTCCGCAGAGGCTTGCCCCACCGATGATGGCAGGGCCTGCGTCTGACATGGGGATTAAGGCACTTTTTGCTGCGTTGGCGTCCACATCTCTAAAAAGTAATTAACAATTAGGCAAGTGCGGCAGTTCTTCAAAGCAAAGTGAATCATTTTATTGCCCTCGTTCATCTTACACATTTTTGCTTTCGAGAGTTGTGCGTTAAATTCGATTAGCGGTTATTTATGGAACCAGCACAGTGTCAATTAATAGCCCAAGCTCCAAGTGCCAATGGGGTTCAAGCTCAGTTAATTGTCAGATCTTCGTGCGGGCAGTGCCATGTGGGAGCTAAGCCCAAATCTTGTATTGACAATTTGTTACAATTTTCAGCTGCGATTCATGCAATGACAATTGAAATGAATTAGACACGTATATATATGTATATATGGTTTCAATACTAGATGACATCTTGCCTCGGCTGAAACCAGTTTAGTTCGTTACGGCTGACATTGGCAAATTAAGTGCGCTGTTAATTAGATGCACTTCATTTCCATATCCAAAAGCTTGCAAATAGTTTGCTGCTCAAGTGTGCACACTCAATTTAGACAATTAGCCGTGCACAGCGGGCAACTGGGGTAACTCGCAACAGGCAATTCAATTGCAGACAGACAAAGTGCCATTGAAATGTAAATGGCCTCGAAATAGATCTAATCCTAAATATAGCTCTATGTGCTGGATAGATAACAATGTTGAATAACGAACACAAAATTATTAAAGACTATCTCGATGTACAGTCATAGGTAGGTAGTATATTTTGGCATTCTACTTATTAGTAACCGTTAAGGTTAAGGTTAGTCCAAGTGCTCTTTGTGAATAAGCTACATCTTATGAAAAGCTGCGATGAATGGGCTACGGTGCTCGAAGGACCTGCTATGGGTAAGCTGGCTTGATCTATGCTGCATTTCGATGTATGAGTTACACACACTTTTCGGTGTGACGCCTTTGAAATAATAGATTATATCTATCTATCTATATCTATTACATAATAGATTATAGATTATATCTATCAATTTCTGTTATATAATAGATTATATCTATTGCTCAAGGTATATCATTTGACCATAGGGCACAAGTGTTTTTCGTATACTCGATCGTTTAGATGCTGGGAGATGGTCGTAGGTTCCAATGCTCTTCAGTATTAGAGTCTTTAGCAGCTTTAAATGCTCAGTTTTTGCTTTCCCTTGATAGGCATAAATTCCGTTTCCCATTTACTTCTTCTTTCTTTTTTTTTGGGCCAATTCTGCCAATGAAAAGATTGTAACATATTTTCGGGCTGCTGTTTAAATTTGCTTTGCATAGCCAAATAAAATTTGTTTGATCCTTGAACTGACCTTATTCATAGCTATATTTTCTCGTACCCCTTTGTAGATCTCGCAACTTTCGGCCTGGCAGCATGAGACGCGTGCGGCGTCGCGCCGTCTTCAAGAATGGCGACTGCAATGTGGTGCAAAAGCATCTGCAGCGCAGACGGGTGCGTTTCCTGCAGGACATGTACACCACGATGGTGGACTGGCAGTGGCGCTGGACACTGCTGGCCTTTGCCTTGAGTTTCATATTGTCCTGGCTGTTCTTTGCATTGATCTGGTGGCTCATTATGTATACGCACGGTGATCTCGAGGAGCTGCATCTGCCACATAATCAGGGTAAGTATATTTTATAACCTAGCCAAACAGATGCGCTAATGGAAATGGCATGCTTTAGAGGATTCCGGTTGGGCGCCTTGCGTCTCGGCCATTGACGGCTTTACCTCCTGCTTCCTGTTCTCAATCGAGACGCAGCACACGATTGGCTATGGCGTGCGCACCACATCGCCCGAGTGCCCCGAGGCCATATTTATGATGTGCTTCCAGTCCATATTTGGCGTGATGTCATCGGCGTTTATGGCCGGCATTGTCTTCGCCAAAATGACACGTGCCAAGCAGCGCGCTCAGACATTGCTGTTCTCCAAGCACGCGGTGATCTGCCAGCGTGACGGCTGCCTCTCGTTGATGTTCCGCGTGGGTGACATGCGGAAGTCGCACATTATTGGCGCCGGCGTGAGGGCCCAGCTTATAAGGACACGCAGTACCAAGGAGGGCGAGGTGATGACACAGCACTTTACAGAGCTGCAGATAGGCACGGATGACTCGGGCTCCGATTTGTTCTTTATCTGGCCCATGGTCATCGAGCATCGCATCGACGAGAACTCGCCGCTCTACAATATGAATGCAACCGACATGCTGCAGGACAAGTTCGAAATTGTTGTAATACTGGAGGGCACGGTTGAATCGACGGGACAGTCTACGCAGGCGCGATCGAGCTATATCAACACGGAAATACTGTGGGGTCATCGCTTCGATCCCGTGGTCTTGTACAACAAGGACTTGCAGGCCTATGAGATCGACTATGCGCGCTTCAATGAGACCACACAGGTGGATACGCCCCTTTGCAGCGCCCGCGAACTCAACGAAATCTACAAGATACAGGAGGGCTTCCGCACACCAGGTTTGATTTTATAACGTCGTTGCTATAACTTCGCTAATGCTTTCTGTCCATTGTTACTGCAGAGACCACCTTCACCATGCGTCAATTGTCCACCAATCATTCCGATCAGGCCTCATAAGCTTTTGTGTCGTTCGAAACTTTGTCTTCCTATTTGTTGCTGTCTTTATATATATAGTTTGTAGTTGTAGTTGTTGCCCCCCTTTTGTCAGCCAGCCTGCTCTGTGTTCCCCACCCCAAGTAAGTTGGCTCGTTGCCCAAGGCAATCTTTGAGCATTATCTAAAGCAATCTCTCTCACTACAGCTTCCGTTCAGCTGCGCAGCTCACCCAATCCCTCTACGACGTCCGCGCACTCGAACAGCTCCGGCTACAGTTCCTGGTGCGGCAATCAGCAGCTGCCGCGGCGCCTGCGCTGGCAGCTGTCGCTGCCCTTGCAGAGAGGCTGTTCTATCGACACATGAAACTTACCGAGTACTTTTATTTGATTACTTACTGCTTACAAAAATAAGTTAATAAATGCTTGAGCTTTTAGTTTACACAAATTACACGTTCAGCGATTCATATAAATGACACATAATTGCCATTTAGCTGCTTCGTCTGGTTTCTCTTGGGAATCGGCAGCCGGCAGTCGGCAATTGCAATTGCGCTATGCGACTCGGCCCAGCCCACTCATTAAGTATCATTAATAATCTGACTGCGAATTATCAATGTAAAGGTGCCAAAAAATTTACTCAGCACTCACCCAAAACAAGCGAAAATGTGGGCAACCACAACGAGCTTGTTTCATTTGTAGGCGCGAGAATTGATGTGACCTGGAATGGCGCTAACGCAAAACATTCATATCCTTTTAATTGAAATTGAATCAATAACTCTTATTTGCGCAAACTAATCAACACTAAATTATAACACTCACAAACAGCTTGAATATTTATTATCACATTTATCACAGCGCCCAGCGACTGGGGCTAATGAAATGTGGGTGTGGGTCAGACATCTGTGTGCAAGCTGTAAGTCGTAAGCCGTAAGCCGTAAGCCGTGGCCGTTGCCACATTCGTACAATGCCAAATTTCAGCAACTCTATTACAACAATTACAGTGAATATTCAGAAATGAAAACAAAATGCGCATTGGCTGCCATCGGCGAGGGGCGGCAACCGTTGAGTGCTGTGCGTCCTTAACCCACATTTGGCAGCAGGCCACGCCAGCGCAGCCGCCTGCCAGTCCAGGCTTGACTCAAACTGTGGCCAACACAGACACAGACTTCGCTTTGACTGAGTCTGAGCTTTGGGAGTATGTTTAATTACTTGTTAAATGTTTGTCGTGCTTATCAGCTAGCAAGCATATTTAAAAGCGCAAAGCGCTGACCATTAGGCGCGCAACCGTGGCAGAAGCTGTGGCTCAGGTGACATGCGTTGCAGTGGCAGGGGACATGTGGCAGTCTATCGAGTGATTGTCCCGGCTAAACGTGCCGGCTGACTACGTGGCCCAGCGTGCCTGACTGCGGCTGATGAAAAAATAAAAAAAAAACACAAAATTAAAATATTATTGGCGGCTCAAAACGTTGCAGGCAGCGCGCGCTGCATGTGGCACGAGCACGTTTCAAAGACAAAAGCGCCACCCAAATGGTTTTGGCCTCTACCTCTGGCTTCGACCGCAGCAATTCATATTTCCCCGAAAACTTCGCGTGTGTGTGTGTGTGTGTGTAGGCATGGTAAATAATTGTTCGTGTCACTTTTAATGTGCCACATACAAATTCGGCTATTTGAAGTATTTATGTATATCATGAGCTTTAGATGCAGCAGTCCGTGAGCGACTTTTGGCTTCCCATGGCTCGGCTAAGTGCTCCAAACACGCCTTAAAGCTGCAAGCTGTCAGCACACTCATAGCCAGAGCCCGTTTCGTTCACTAGCTGGCATTTTATTGTTCCATGCAGAAAACAAAAAATGTAGTCCGCTTGATATTTAGCAGCCATGCGGCAAGCAGCAGCCTAATAAAGACATCAATTGGACGATGACTCAAGCTCAGGCTGAAGCTCAGGCTGAGGCTGCGATTGTGGCTGAGGCTTACGGGTAAGTGCAGGCGAGTTCCTGTAAAACAAGCTTAAAATTAACTGCGCTCGCAGCGCGAAAATGGCAACGGCAACAAAGGGTAGAACATGCTACATAACTCATCCATAATCAACACTGTTTACATAAATTTCAAAAATTATTACACGGCAACAGATGAGAGACGCAGAGCCAAGGGCCCCAGACGATGTCTGCGGCTGGGCCGCGGCTCGTGATGAATGCTTAAATAATGCGCTTAACCCTGTGCGAACATAATTTATGGTGTGCAGATATACATGAGTATAGCAATACGAGTATATGACTATATGAGCATGTGTATGAGTTTCAGTACATGGCGCGTCTGGCCGTGTCCCATGCAACACACGCTGTTTTCATTGTTATTACACGGACATTGCCGTTGACCGAACGCCCTACTCCAAGTCCCGCTGCTGCCACTTTGCTCAAATTGATTAATTACGGTCATTTTGGTCGCACTGCAGCAGCAGCAGCAGCAGCAGCAGCAGGAATAGCAGAAGCAGCCACAAACGCTGCATAAGTAGCATAAATGCCATAAGAGATGGCCTGGAAGCCACGTTCAAACTTTAAGTCATTTGCCAGTAAGGACAAAGCCGCCAAAAATGAAATTACTCAAGCGTAGCGAACGGGCCTCAGACGGAACATACAGACAGCGAGAGAGAGAGAGAGAGACTCGGGACCAAAGTCTCAGCATCAGCTACGGCTTCAAGCGTTGACGGTTTTGTCGCTATGTGCAGCAATTGATTTAAGTAACTCCCGAAAACTTACTAAGTGATTGAGTGAGCAAGAGACAGAGGGAGATAGGGAAAGAGCCAAATAGCCTGACTATATCTTTACGACATAGCACATGACTACATGCATAATTATGGATATAAAAATGGTAAAAGGCCTTTGGCCCTTGCTGGCTGTTCTGCTGCACGTAATATGCATTTTATGTTGCAATAACAAATTTCAGAGTACAAAGTCGGCAAAAAAGGGTTAAGTGCAGGACAATATGCTTAACACACTGAAGCCGTTGTCGTCCGCGTTGCTGTTGCCTTTGCCGTTGCTGTTCGCCTTGGGCAGCTTTTGCTTGGCTGAATAATATTGAAATTAATTAGTTTTGATGGAAATTATTAAGTAATTTTTATGTTGGCAACAAATGAGTAGTGGTCGCTGCTTGTCTTTTTTTTTTACTTTGCATTTCGCTTTGTTTTCGTATTATTCAGTAATTATATTTATTAAATAACATAATAAATTAGCGCTGCACTTGTTGCTGTGCCTGCTCCAATTAAGGAAGTGCCACTCGCTGCAAAATGAAATGAAACCCCATCAACTGAGACTGAGAGCCGGGCCAAATTGGCTATCGGGCGACCGGTTATGATGTATATTTCGTTGTTGATAAGATGCTTTAATTTAAAATCTGCATACATTTTTGGGTCCATTGCATTTTGAAATGACTGGCGGGCCGGCGGGCAGGCGGGCAGGTGAGCTGGCGGCCAGGCTCGGCCTGTCATCCGAAATCCGCCAAAATAAAAATCAAAATCAAAATGACAATCAAGAGCGGCACAGGTCGCCTTTCTGACAGATCTCACGTTGGAGTGGACGTCGGAACTGTCAAAAATAACACTTGAGCGGTGTGGAGAAGCTGCAGGTTATTATTATTATTATTTTTATTTCATTTTTCCTTTATACATTTTTTGATACTGCGGATTTGCCTTTTTGGTGGCGGCTTTTGATCTGAAGTGAAGGTAATTTAGCAAACTTCAACTGCCACAAAAGAAATTGCAAAATAATAAAGCATACACACATGCTATAAAAGAAGCCCTTGGCCAAAAGGGGCCAACTATAAGCCTTGACGAGCTTAAGATAAATGCATTCGCAGTTTCACTTTGTCAGATATTGTATGTGGCGAATTATGGCAGCATACATAAATAAGATCTTAGCAAGATCTGCTAATTCATATATGTTGTATAACGCACAGCATTTAAATAAGGCAACATAAATCAGCTCTTAGTCTTAACAGCAGTCATTGTTCTAACGCCCTTTGTTAAGTTTATCTCTACGGCTCAATTTGTATTTGTGTTTATTGCAAGTCATTAGCGTAGATTTATTAATCCATAAAATGCCAAATAAAACCAGCAGCTTTTTCACATGCAAAGCAGTCAACATTTTGTTATTGGTTCGTTATCATCTCATAGGCTGTGAACCTTTCACATTTATACACAATTTTTGGAAAGTTTTATGCCTATAAGAGTCAGGGGGTCATTTTATATCGCAACTAAAGTTCTTCAGGGGCCATTAGCAATTTGCAAATGGCTGCAAATGTGCGTAGTTATTTGGTGTACGAGCATCGACTTTATCGGCTTAACGATGCATAATAAAATTATGGCGGCAATCAGAAATCAATAACAGTTTTTTACCCACTCAAGTTGGAGAAAGTAATTATTGGTCGGTCAAGTGGCCAGACAGCATCAGACAACACTATAGCTGACTCTTATCCGATAAGAGACAAGCTGGCGGATAACATTTCGGCATCGGCTCAGATGAAAGCGGGCGGGGCGTGTGTTAGGCTCCGTCCTGTACGCGCCTTTGGCTCATTTGCGCCCATCGTCACTTGATTGAAGCCAGTGAGTGGTTGAGGCGAAACCAAATGCAGAAGCAGTCAACAAATCAACGCCACACCGAACAAGATGAACGGCATTTAAGGGCAGCGTCAGGGACAGTAATCTCAAACTGACCTACAGCAGCAGACGTGGCCAAGTCGGGCCAACTTTTATTGATGCAAATTGCATGCCTCGGGGCCTGTAATCACCTTCCTGCCGAGCGGCTGTGCGTGTAATTTGATCGACAACTGGCCCGACTGCGACTTCAGCTCGAACTTCATCTCGATTTCGTTCCCCTGGCTTGTTCTCAGTCGCACAGGGCACTTGACTGAGAATGCAGATGCCTGATAGGAAACTCGAAACTGGGTCACATTGTGATGTGAGATTCACTTAAGTCTGATGATCGGGCGAATATGTTAGGGCGCCATCTAGCGCCGCCAAACAATATTCAGATATTAATCGGCCATCCCAGCCAGTCAGCCAGGCTGTTGCTGATTTCTCGATTCGCACCGCATTTCAAACTGATTGGCGGACTGACAGGTACAGGACCGAGAAGGTAACAGCCTTGTGGATGGATTTGCCCCAATCTGGCGTGTCCTTGCCATTTAACAAGCTTTAAATAGCTTCAATTACAGCGTACTTCAACTGGACATGCATAACATTGCATAATGTCTGGCCATTGGTTTCCCTCTATGCAGATCCAGCGTCCACTAGTCCCGAGGTCCAATTAAACCGGACAGACTGACGGGCGCTGCAGCATTCATCAAGTAGGCGGCTTGGCAACGGCCATACCGACGGCACGACAGGAGGTCATGTCACGCAAATATCCATTAACACATCATAAAAATTAAAAATTAAGAAACCATACGATGCAACCACCACCACCACTACGACCAGTAAAAAAAGAATAACTGCAATGCCTGCAACAACTGGAGGGTCATAAAAAACCGCAATGGCTGGAAAAAATGCAAAAAAAAAAAAACAAAAATTAAAAATAAAACGTCAAGAAATGCCACGATAATCAGAGGCAGGCAAAAAGTGAAACCGGTAATTATGTATTATGTATGCACGCCACCAACGCGGCAGATTAAAATAAGCTACTGCTGCCAGAGAGCAGCCGCTGCCAGGACAATGCGACCCGGGACAGAGAATCAAGATGGGGGTGTCTGTAGTGTGGGAAGCGCTTAGTGGCGACCCACGCTGCACCGACCCGGGCACTGTAAGTAGGAAATATCTTCTCTCTTGTTTTTTTGTTTCGTTTTTGGCAATTTACGTGCTACGATGTGCGACGCGCACACAAAAGACTTAAGCGACGAACTTGCAATAATATAAATTTCACTTAATTGCAAAAACAAAGGTTGGCTGGCTGGCGAGCAGAGATTTAAAACCTGGCGGACATGCCAACTACAAAATGCATTAAATCGATAAAAGCAGCACAAATAAATGAGTTCAACACGCAAACGAAATTTTAATGCAATCCCAGCCGAAAAATATGCAAAGCACATAAAATTAAGCAAAAATCGCAATGGCAACAGCTCGCAGAACATTTATCTCTTACTCTACTCTCTCGATTCCATTGAAATTGACTTGCAGGTTGCAGTTAGCCACGGCTCTTCATGCTGCTTTCCGTATTGTCGGCTGGAAATTTGTCGCCGCAGTACAGCACAGCACAGCACAGCACAGCACAGTAGCTTATTTCCAGTTGCTGTTGTTGTTGCTGTTATTATCGGGGCATACGAAAACTTTGTATACGAGTGCATTTTATGCGGCCACGCTGTCAAGCTTAATTTCTGGCGGGGCTTTGCAGGCAATGACAGTGAATATGGCTCGTAATTTTTCGACGCTGTAAGTGTTAAAGTCAACAATCGTGAGAAAAGAATTTTATTGTTTTTGTTTTATTCATAGCCATGACGTTGTTGTGCCTGTGTGTGTCTTTGTGTGTGTTTGGCTGCACTTTTTGTGGCCACTGAAGGTCACTTTGCCTTGATCGCTGGCTGTACGTTTGTTTGTCTGAGTGGCTCCGATTTTATGTGCGCCTTAAAATTTCAGTTTCTTTTTTTTTTCAATTTTGTTTACGTCTCTTTTTGACTTTTTGGCTTTTCGGTTTTCTCGATTTTGCCTTTGCCCATTGCCTCACATGATGCCTGGCAGCGGCCGCTGTCAGCCTTTGTCTTGCTTTTATTATACATATATACTTTATATATATATATATACTATATATTTCGTTTTATTTTTCGGCTTGGCTGTGGCTCATGTTAAATTGTCCGTTTCATGTTTCTGTTTAAATGTCAGTTGTAATTTGTTGTATTAACCCATACCACATGAATTATGTTTAGTTCGAATGTAATTGATTTGAATGCAATTTGAATGAATCGGGTAACTGCAACAACAACAGCAACAATGGCGGCAGCAACGGGTGCAGTTGCTTCGTCGTCGTAGTCTTAGGAAAAACAGATTGAAATTGCAATCAACTTTGACCAAGATTTAATAAAAATGTTCAATTTTTCCCAGACAAGAGTTCTTAGGCAAAGTCTATGTTATGTGAGCTTTGGGATAATGGCTTGCTTGGGGCTACTTATCTGCACTAAGAGGGTGTTATGGTAGTCAAGATCAATCAAAGTTCATCTCACAAATAGCTGCCGCAATTTAGTCATAAGCACAACGTTTGCCGCACTGCAGATACGTGTCCGCGGACCTTGGAATAGTAAAAGGTTAGATTATCACACTTGACGGCATAGTTTCTTAAAATATTATTAATGTTCGTTGGTTAACAATGATTGAAATTATAATTTCATCGAGTAGGCAGCGGTTGCTCTGTCGCTTTTGGCAGCTTTTTGTATATTGAGGCGACTTCAAGCGTTTTGTGCGTAGTTTAACTAGCGACGGTGTCCTTTAAAGCGATTTCAGATTTGTAAGCAAGTGTCGTTGAATAAGTTTTTGTGCATTTCCTTGATGGTCCGTTATCATGAAGACTAACCCTAATCCATGCATATTTTGTTTAGATGAGCAACAGCGGCCTTGTCGCTTGCCGTGCAGCCATTCATTTTGCACGGATTGTTTAGTACGCTATTTGCAGGTGAGAGGCGATTTTCGGTGCCCGCTGTGCCGTCGCGTGTTTCAGGTGAGCACTCGAGAACCAGCTGAAGCATCCAATGACAGCACCACAGATCCAGATACGCATGTTGTCCCAGCAGCCATGCCGGCACCGGAACCAGCCCATCAACATGCAGATTTGCGGAGCGCTGACTTTGTGCACCTCTTCGATATCGATATTGATATGCTGAACGACACTTTGGTGCTGACACTCACAGAGCAGGAAATTCGTCTATTTGCTAATTTGTATGACGAGGTACTGCGCGAGGATCAACGCCAAAGTGCTGCACCAGAGACAGCGGACGCTTGGATTATTCGGGGCATGGTTGGAATCTAATCTCTACAGCATGTGTTTCTCTCTCTGTCAATTTTATTTTTATGTGAATGTTTCTTTTATTTTTGTGTTTGTTTGTGCCATATAAATACCCTAAACACCTGCAATATAGCGCTAAAATAAAACGTGGTAAGATAATAAATACAATAATTATCCAAATATAAATGTCAAGCATTTTGCGTATATGTAAAAAATATGTGAAGAATTTTGCTGAGAGATAAGTTCGCATGCGAAAAAAATACAACTAAGTGATGAGATTGAGATCTAATTGATAATCACATACATTATCTGTGCGTTGAAGATAAAGCTAATCGAATTTGTAACCCCGCTGCACTAAGCTATAAATCATAGATTTCCATAGAATATAATCTTGAAGTTAAGGCAATTAGAGCTACATATTGCAGTTATTGTATGCTCAGATAGGAACGTGTCTTTTAAGCATTTGCATCTGCAAGTGGTGCAACCAAATTGTTGGCCAATAACACGCCATCGATCAGAAAAGTCGTATGTGCGGAGACTGCTAACTGCTGGGGCAACTTAATTAGACGCTTAGTCTGGCTAATTGCAACGATCTGGCCAGGCTGGTCCAGATAATTGATAAGCCTCGGCTGCAGATGAACAGCTAATGATGGCAATTAACAACAGCAGCAGCAGCAACAGCAGCATGAGCATGAGCAGAGTCGCCTGACTTCGAAATGGTGCAAAATTGTTTATTAAATGTTCATGGCTGACCAGCGGGCAGCAGGCCTAGCCTAGCCCAGCTCTCTGGGCCAGCTGGAGTGTTCATTTGTTTGTTGGTCTCCATTGCTACGTTGCCAGTCTTTATCGCCACGAATCATTTTTGCTTTGCCATTTTGACAGCGTTTTGAGTCAACAACATGGCCCGCTCGTTGCCGCATGCAAAAGATACAAATCTAAGCTGCACATTATGCAATTGGCAATGCAATCGTGCGACTGCCCCGCCGAAGTCGAGGCGAAACTATCTCATGGATTTGCGCAATTTGTCATCCATCCTGCGCAGGCGGCAGCTGTCCCCATCCCCCGTCCAACTGCCGCTACCAAGTGCGTGCGAGGGCGTGGTCGCCGAACAGTTTTATTGATAACGCTTGCCAGCGTGCTTTGATATTGCGTTTAGTTAACCAATAATTAATGCCTGTTGTCGCCGAACTGCGTGTAATTTGTGGCAGTTGCTGCTGCCGCTGAAATGCGATATGCCCAAATTACTTTTGAGCATTTTCTTGTTGCAAATATGCATTTATGAATGTCTGGCGATGACTTCGATTTGCGCTGCCAGTGGCAGTGGCATCGTCAACATCTGATTTTACATGTAAGCAAACATTTTTATCGCCGATTAGGCTCAACCGATAACCCCAATCGATGGCTAGGCATACAGGTAGCTAGCTATTGCTTATATATATATAAATATCAAGGCATGTTCAGTTCTCATCGTTCGGTATGGAACGCAGCTTTCAACATTTAGTGGCAGGCTTGTTGTTTGTATCGCAAGTCATTTGTCAAATTGCTAAACTGACATTAAAGCCGCTTTGGTGGGTCGATAAACGCGCCGCAAATTTGACATTTTGCTGGCGATGATCGATGCATATCCAGGGAGTGCAACCTGGTGACATTTTTGCGCCAATTTCGGTCGCTGGGGCATCAGTTAAGCAACAGCAACAACAGCCACTCTGTGCGCATTTTTCGCTTTCAGTTTGCATGCGTGGGAGTTGCACGAATTGTGTCGTTAAATAATGCGCCATGTCGGCAAATCCTGCACGAGGAAGAGGCTGAAGTTGGCGCAGCTAGGGAGACGGGGCAGAGCAACGGCAGACTAAAACTGGTTAGCTGCTTAGAGCGGAAGCGACGACGCTGCCTGCCGTTGTAGTTGCTGTTGTTGTTGTTGTTATTGTTGATGCCGCAAAAGGCAACTGGCAACTGGCAACTGGCAACTAGAGCAACGTTTTGGGTGGCCGTCATGCCGGCCTTGCATTTGATATTGCAGCAGCCGCTTTGTTTAATTGATAGACGACCCACGCCGGCGACAAAGCTGCGCCAGCCATGCGGCACGCGATTTAACTGTTGCTCTTTGTTGTTGCTGTTGCTTTTGCAGCTGTTGCTGTTGCAGAGTTTGCCTTTGCCAAAGCCGCCAGTGGCAGAAAACCCATCGAACTCAAACTGTGCGCACGCGCATGCAACAAACGGCGACGGCGTTGACAGATTGATGCCCCCAACAGCCGCACGGGCATCGACTAGTTCGCCAGGCTTGACGATGCTGCGGCCGAAGCCCCCGCTTCATTATTCAAATTGCTCGTGTGTTTCTGCGGAATTTATCAAAGTCGCTACACACAGACGATGCGAGAGGAGCCGGCACCCACCGGGCAGGGGACAGTATGTGTGCCATTTGGATTGAATTCGTGTCGCTGAGCTGTTGCTCTGTCGCGTGGGAGTCAACTGTTGTTGCTTTTTACCAAACAAAACTATCTACAGGTCAGATAAGATAAGTAGTCGCATGTCCAACAACTTTCCTTTTGGCTAAGGGCAGGCTCAGCAGTCGAACTGCCACAGCCACAGCCACAGTCACAGCAACAGCAACTGCATTTTGGGCGCGGCCGAAATTCTCATAAATCTGTGGCCCCAAAATGTAAACCGAAATATGCTTGCACATAAGTACATATGTATATGTGCACAGTTGTACATTGCTAGCTGAGTAATTAAAGCAGTTTAACATGTATTTCGATGGAAGTTGGCCAGTTTTTGAAGCTGTCACAACATCAACAAGCCTTCATTCATGCGCTGCGACAGGCAGCCAGGCAGCCAGGCAGCCAGGCAGCCTGCTAGCCAGTCGGTTAGCCAGTTAGCAAAGTCAGTCAGTCAGTCAGTCATTCAAAAGCCAGCCGAAATGTTGCCATAAATCAACTCATTTGAAATGCATCAACTGCAGCAATCAGAAACAGAAACAAACTTCAAAAAAATCTCAAAAAAAACCCAAAAATCGAAGTCAGTTACACAAATATTTTTACACGTTGCTGACGACGATTGCGATTTCCAATTCCAATTGAACGAGTGACAATGCGCGGGCGGGGCAAAACACTGCCACACATATTCACACACAGACACTGTGCCACTGTCCAACTTGGCGTGTTGCACAATGTGTGAAAACAGGATCAAAGTCCTGCCTAAACATTTGTCAACGTTTTCAGCGTTTATGTAATCTGCATTTTTTATTCACTTTGCTGGCAACGGGCTTGTCATGAATATGCGCCAATTAAGCATTTTGTCTGTGTGTGAGTAACATGCATCAATCAAATGTTCGCAGGATAAACATTGCCCCAGTCAGTTGGTCACTCTGTCAATTGGACCTAACAACATGCAATGCTGTTGCAGCGGGTGACTTGTAAACTTGTTGAACATGGAATTGAATCAAATATAAAAATTATGAAAATATATTGAATTGAAAATATACTGAGGGCAGAAAATTACTTTTCAGCTTAATTTTGTTATTATCATGAAAACAATTAACATTACTTCACTTCATAGCTCTGTTCAAGCTTAGCTACTCTTGACTGCTCCACTCTTGTTCCGTTAACAGTCGATTGAGCAGCCCTCGCATAAATGCAAATCCATAGACACAGTGTACAGCCACCGTCTAGCTACTCAAATCTCATGTTGAGTGACAGCCTCGGGGTTCTGAAAGGCCGTCGATGACTTTGGGGCGTGGCCTGGTTATTATTAGCATCGCATGGCAATTTCTTAATTGATTTCGTAGCTGGCCATGTTAATTGAACGTTGAGAGTCGGCACGGATGTAACATGTCGATAGTCGCCTCAACCCAGTCAAACCCAAAAGCTTCAGCTACTGCATAGTTGTCCAGTCAGCTGTCAGTCAGTCAGCCATTCAGTAGTAGATTTGTTAGTCAACCTGGCCAACTAGCCCGACATTTGGCTGCAGCAATAGTTTATGTGGGCCGCCAATGTGTCCAGTTGTTGTTGCTGTTATCGTTGAAGGCATTGTAAGTTTCACTTATCATCAACAACAACAACAACAACAAACAATTAAATGCATTTGCACGAGTTATAAATATGAATGTCAAGATGTTAAAGCAGAGATTCGTGTGCTTTTTGACCCACATGGACTGCAGGCAACTGCCAGCAATTTGCCACCTAAAAGGAAAATTATGAGCACCAGCATTTGCAGCTCAAAACAAACGATCGGCAATAAAGGCAAACAGGAAAACGCGTCACGTCACTTTTGCACAAATGGCAACTGAACTGAGCCAAGCCAAACTGAGTTCTGCTGTGTGGCGCACTCAAGTGTGCTGGGTGGGTGGATGCTGGAGGTGAGGAGGATGCTGCGACGTTTGTGGCGGCACCTTCCCACAATTTCAACCATTCGGCGCACAAAGTCAACAGCATTTTCGTTATAATTTCTATTATTTTCCCTTTTGGCATAATTGCAGACAATTTACTTAACGATCAATAGCGGCAGGCAAACGGCAAACAGTCGACGAAAAATTTATTAGCTCCCGCAGCTCTGGCTGGCAGTTTGAGCGCAAGGAGCGGGGCACAACCATGTGTTGGCTCCACACCAGCTCAGATACTGATGGTCGACAGCAGCAGCGCAGTCGTTGCAGTTGCATCCGTGAGAGTCGCGCATCGTGTTGCAGCCGCTGCCGGTTTCTATCCTTGAGCTAATACGAATAACTTTTTGCTTGCCACAAAACATTTATTTAAAATAGAGCAGAGCTTTTCTGCCGCCGGCAATAGAGCAGCAGCCATGCCGGCCCAATGGATGAACGCTGTTCATATTTTAATTACGCGACTTTATCACGTCAATTCACGGTGGCTGCGGCACGATATGACAGCCGGACGGCGGTACAGCGGGACAGCTGTACTGAACCCGTTTCTAGACCTTGATAGAAAACATTCGATAAATCCAACTGCAATTTGTATGAGCTGGACGTTCAGAGCCTTTCCAGGCAGTTACATATATCGCAAGGCTCGGGCAGAGCACAGAATAACAAATTGAACTATTAGATCTATATAACATCTCAGTGAGGCCCCTTGCTCAATCTGTTAGCATAACATACAAATTGAGGAACTTATCAACAACAATATCTAAAAGACATTGATTGATATTTTAAGTTGTTTAATTAGATCCATTAGTTAAATTGTCTTCAATGGAAATTGAGGTCAGACCCATCAATCAGTCTGGGTCAGTACATACTATTTGAGTCTATAAATATAACTCAAACTCAATATTTTGATTATCTCTCAGTTATTCTAATTCGGACACAACCTCCAGCGGTTGCACCGATACAAAAATGAGGAGTAATCAACTCTTCAACGAATCAACGCATCCAAAAGTTTTACTCTCGAAGAGCTCACTAATTTGCCATAATGTTGTGCAGACAGTCGCCCGCTGATTGCCGATAATGTCGGGCTTAATGCACATTTAACATACGAACGTTGAAGGCGGACAGCAGATAGACAAAGAGAGACAGAGAGAGGGGCAGACAGTTGGGGGAGGGCATGACACTCTTAGGGCTATTTACCTGTCAAAGTCCAAAGTGTGAGAACTGCTTTGACTTTTCAGTCATAATAACAAATGAGCAATAAATTTCTAAATTTTCGCCAATAAACAAACGTAATGATCATGTTCATCAGCTGATGATCGTGCCGATGCGGCCTGGGCTGTTGCTGTAGCTATTGCATCGAAATAGCTAAAGAGCCATGCCCGTGCCCATTCACTGCTGGACACCCACTGCTGATTATGTTCGTCTGGGGCAACGTCTGTATAGGCCATAGTGAAAATCGCTGGCGATCTTCGACCATCTTCGGAAGATCAACGGCGGCTGATCAATGCGGTGGTCAGCAATGTTGTTTATGTGCTGCTGATTATGAGCAGGCGTCACTGGCAAACACATAATCGGGCAAAGCGGGCCGCAACTGCAACGGGCAACGGGCACCGGGAACGGGAACGGGAACGGGACTTCGACTGTGACTGAGGTTGCGATGATGTTAGCTTTTTGATGTTTCAACAACGTCGAACTTTGGGGTCATAGCAGCTACGACGCATCGTAAATCATTCATAGAGGCAGCAGCAGTCGCAGCAGCAGCCTCAGCAGCATCATCGGCAGCCGCATCAACTGCAACAACGTGAAATTTGTTGCATTGGCCGCACACAACAAATTGATTTTAGTCACGATACTGTCAATTAGCCAGCCATGGGTCAGCAGCGTAGCCAGCGATGGTACGACTTCTCCTTTAGTCGAGGTGTTGATGCCGGCGAACTCTGCCGGCTGCCTTCTGACCCGTGCATGAGGTCCCATTTGGTTCGCAGCTGCGCCTTAGCCTCGCAGCCCCAACGTTTAGATGCGATTAACGCTGCAAAATTATTGTTATAGTTGGCTGGCAGGGCTGCCAATGTTGGCTACTTTATTAAATCAAAGTATTTTCACATGATTATCACGTGAGTCGCCGTATGCGACTCGCTGACCTCACACGCCGTCCATGTTTATGGTCAGTTTCTGGCCATTGTTTCTCTTTACGACTTTTAATATGCACGTCAGGGCAAATGGATTTTATGTTTTAGTATGCTGCTCTTAATACCAGCAAGTTATTGCTGCAGCCTTTCGCTCGATCTAATTGAGTGATTTCTCGAATGCTGTGGCCCAAAAAAAAAAAAACTAATTAACTTTTCTGTTGGCCACAAGTATTTTAAATTTATTTGCTTAGTTGGGTGGAAATCGTTGAAATGCCTTGGCGATAATTAAAGCCAACTACGAAATGCTAGTACCTGCTCGGCCGATACTCTGTGCTCCTTTTTGGGGCTGGCGCATTGTCAGGCGTACCTGTTAAGAGATACTTTGAACCTGTTGTACAGTTAGAGTTACAATTTGCAATGGCCAGGCAGTTCCTGGCTTGTTCTCATTGTATATCGATGGCGATGCACTTGAAAATCGTGATTTCACCTTTTGAGCATGGCAAGGCAAGGCAAGGTAAGGTAAGGTACAGCAGACTAACAGCAATTGCCGACTGGCAACTGGCTGCAGCTATAGCAACACCACCAGCAGCACGGTTACCACCACCACCACCACCACCAATCACAACAACAACAACAACAACAACAACAACACAAATGCTTCTAAATGGCAAAGTAAACTGATTTACAATCAAAGGCAACGAAGCGCGCAAAAGAGTCGCAATGAGGTTTCAGTTGAGTTGAGTTGAGTTCAGTTGAGTTCGATTTAGTTCCGTTCAATTCGTTTGTTAGATCCCGTTGGCTGCTTCTCCCTTGGCGCTGCTGCGGCTGCCAGAGCCGCTGCCATCAGCAGCGCAAAATCAATTGAAGTAATTACGAAATGAAGGCACGAACTAATAAACTTGGTCGTCGTCTTTGGCCCTCGATTTGGTCGTCTTAACGAGCTTGTTGCTTCGCTGGCTGCTGCTGCGGCTGCTGCTGCCGCTGCTGTTGGGCCTGGCGAATGGCTATTTCGGACTACGGACGTCGGACGACGCCACCGCGCCCAATTTACAGTTAGTTTAAATTAATTAAACGAAATGCACTTAATTAGAAGGCAATTTCCAATGGCAATATCCATAGACATCCGAGTCGAACGTTAGTTCGCATTCGGACTTAGATTTGGATTTCGTTTTTGGACTTGGCAAGTGCATGACTTTTGCTGCCCAACCTCAAAATGAAATCAGGTCAAGCCCGGCCAGGCCACGCCAGGCCAGGCCAGGCCAGAGACGCCCAAGCAAGCAACAAATTTGCGGTGCTGCAGCACCCGGACAGGCGCAATCGATCGCACGTCAAAAACTGGGGCCAGCCAGCATCAGAGAAATATGGTTTTTCATTTAAGCCAGGTCAAGCCGCCCAGAAAGGTGACCCACGCTGCTGCTGCAGCCAAAACGAAAACGAAAACGAAAATGAAATCAGAGAGCGCCATTTGTAAGGGCATCAAACATTTTGACCAGGCCATCAACGGGCCGAGGCTCGAAGCTTGATCGCGGTGCTGGTGCTGACAGACAATTTGCTTATAAGGTTTCATTGTTTTCCAACGCGCAAAGATCAAAACAAAACACAAAAATAATCATGAGCACAGACCAAAACACAAAACAAAAACTCCGAAATAGGAGAAAAAGATGCGCCACACCCGCAACGCGGTTCAAGCTGAAAACAAAAAAAAAAAAGCAAAAAACAATTGGACAGCTCGAAATTAAAGCTATTGTCTGGGCATTGGGTCAAGTGCTGACAGCCTCGGTATTGATGTTGGCGCGTGTGCAACTTTTAGATGATTTAACGCCGGTTTTTCGGGTTCGGATTCGGGTTCGGGTTCGGTTAGATTTTTTAACAAATTCATATGTATATATTTAAGCCATTCAGATCGCGATATAGGGGAAAGAACACCGCATTTAGGGAATTTGTTGCTGTAATCTGAAATAAAAAAATGATCATTGCTCAACCCTAAATTATATTTATTGGCTAACCCTGGGAAATGAGCCAATCAAATGGGCAGCAACTGCTGCCCTAGCCAACGCCTTCGGATCGGGTGAAAGTTGGTCCAAAAACGTGCGCCCAATTTGACACCCAGTAAAGTGCACTCGCACTCACTCCGTGGCCACAAATGGAGTCCGAAAATCGGTTTCAATTAAAGCCGAAACGTGCTGGAAACCAAATTAAATGCTACAAAGCGCGCGCCAAAAATTTTGATTATTTGTACAGCTCAAATTAGAAGGAAAGTCGCCAATGCAAGTCCAAGTAATCAACCTCATCATCACCTTTTGTGGCCGTGGCCTGGCTCAGTGGCGCAGCTTGGCTAGTGGCTCAGTGGCGTGCTGCCAAAGTAGGTTGACCGGGTGGCTTTTGTCGGTGACCCACAGCGACTGCCACATCCATATCCACATCCACATCCACATCCATGAGTTTGGCAGTTGACTGGATTTGGCTGGCATTGGATGCCAGCGAGATGAAAGCAAGCCGAGTGGCTCAATGAAGTAAGTGCGCTCTGTTGACTGAGTGCCAAAGTAATTAGTCTACTAGCGAAAAAATTTGGGCAAGCTTGCAGTTCCGCATAGCTGCTTATTAGGCCTAAATACCGAACACGGGCCAAACAAATCGACTTAATTGATTAACATTCAAAATGTTTGGGTCTTAGCCAAGAAATTTAAACGATTTTCAAATGCACTTCAACATGCTTCATCATCTGCCATCGCCGTTTGGTCGCTTCATCAAAGCAAATAACAAATAAATAAGCTAAAAATAAATCAAGCCAAATGGGTTATTATTGTTGTTGTTGTTGTCGCTGTTATGGACGGCATCAATCAGAGCTTGAGATGAAGATGGAGTTGGCGGTAGTGGTGGAGTAAAGCCGGTAAGGCCGAAGGCGTTTTACAGTTTCACCATATGAAGTTGGCTAAAAATAAATAAACAGTCAAGTGAATAAGCCACATAAACAGCTGGCGTTCAAAAATTAAGTTAATAATTCAAAAAAAAAATAATAGAAAAAACCCCAAAAAATAATTGTTGAAATTTACTACAGTGCGCAATTGATAATCTCCTCTCCAGCCTCCTCATCCAAAAGAAAAAGAGTTTCTGTGTGTATTTTTAATTGAATATTGCTTTGTGGCTTGTCTGGTTTGGTTGCCATTTGGCACTTCCAGCATTGATTTGTGTGGGGCTAGTTTAACGTCTGAGGCCTGATATATGGAAGGAGTTTGTTTTGGATGCGCTTCGAGTGTAATTAAAAAGCCGGTGAGCATTAAGTGTGCTCTGGCTGCGGCCATGGCCCTGGCTGAATCGAACTTTAATTGAACACCTCAAAATGATGCGCACGTAATGCAGATTTACAGCGGCAATGAGGCAGCAGAAACAATGGTCCATGTTCGCCATATCCTCTTGGCATCCTTGTCAAACTTAATGAGGGCAGTTGCCGTTGCTACATGCAACGCAGCAAGCGCTGGCTTAACACGCCCCATCAAGCGGCCCGAAGTTTGCACAAGAAATTAAACGCGAACGATGCGCACAGCTGAAGAAATACCCATAAAGGCGAAATGAAGTTCCATGTCCGTGTATCAGTTGTGCATCTACTTGCCCTTAAGTAAAGTACAGTATCTTGTTGCAACTTCATTTCGTGGCATGGCCCCAAATATTTTCGCCTCGCTTTTCTGCTTTGCTTTGCTTTGGCGACCGCAACATCGGCAGCAACAACAAAAGCTACAAGCAAAAACAACAACATGCATGCCGCATATTTTTGGTTACGGCCTTGTTGTTGCTGCTGCTCTGCTCTGGACTCTGGAGCCGCGCAAAGCCGGACAGAGCCGGCAGGACAGGCTGGAATTATTTTCTCTCCCTCGTCGTATATGTTTCGTTTACGTTTTTTGGTTTGGGTGTTTTTATGTTCTTATAATGCGACTTATCAGATTTTTCGAAGCTGACAATGGCCGAAAAGTGGCCTGCCCCAGCAGCCGGTGGCAACGGCCGCGAAGGTTATCGAGCAGCGGAGCAAAAGGGGATGGGGGAAAGCCGGCTCTGCTGCGGTTTTAATGCGTGCGCCGACGTCGCCGCGTGTTGTATTAAATTTGGTTTTCCCTTGCAAGCTTGGCAAAAAAAAAACAAGATTCCCTCAGCTCTCGCCACGCGCCTTGATTTTTACCATGATATTTTTTTTTGATGATTTTCAATAAAATTAAATTGAAAATAAAAATAAAATAAACTTTTATGTTATTATTATGTTGACGCCGCTGCGACGAGGCCTCATAAAAGATTGCCACTGATAGTCGGGCCAAAATGCATTAACAATGTATGTGCCCGATAAGACGCTACAGCCAATACAAATTGTTGCAAAAACAATTCAAGCAATCGGGCAATATTGTACATACGATCATTGCTACGTTGTAAACAATCCCAGAAAGCAATTGTGTAGATTTGTTGGCTTTAAATTGAAAACGGAAGTTCAGGCTATGATTTTCTGTAAATTGGTGAAACAGGCAGAACATACTTTGAACTATATAAACTCTTAAGCAACGGCAAGAGTGGAGTCTCTCCGTATGTCCATCTGTGCGTTCGTGTAAATACATGAATGTCGTAGGCGTCAACATCTGAAGACCTGTTATTTTAATATTCGTTAATCATTCATTTTTCTTCGATAATTCAACCCATTTCATTATCATTTATAAAATTCTATCAAATACCACAGTGTTTCTAAGCCACAGTTATCTATCTCTATAGCAATTCTGTGTAATCAGAGTATCTGCCAGTCGCGTACACCCCACTAGAGCACTCTTGTTTTTTATAACAAAATCAAGTCAAATATGTACTCATCCTTGTTGTGTATCATTATGTGTGTCACAACTACTTGTATTTTGCTGCCACATCCAGTAACTGGTAATGATCGTTTATGCTGGCAAGTTGCTGCCCTGCCGCTGCTTGGTTTTCGGTATTCGGTTTATGGTTTTCGGTGTCGGTGTTTTGCGCTTGTCAAATATTTGCAAATCGCTTTGACATCTGGTTCGACAACTTGTTATCGTTCGTGTGTACCGTCGCCCAGTTCACCCGGCTCACCCGGCTCGCACATATTTCGTTTTTAATAAATTGTAGCACAATTTGATATGGCAACGCCACGCCCGTGCCGCGACTTCAGCTCAGCTACAGCAACAGCAGCCTCAGCCTGAGCTTCAGGTTCGACTCTGGCAGTTATTGCAGCTGTCATGAGCGCAATGCAAAAAATGGCATAAAGTCTTTGATTAGGCGTGGAAAAATATTGTCGGAAAGCATTTTAATCGTTTTGATTAAAAGCCACCACGCCTAATTAGTTGGAAGTTTTCGCTACTAACCGGTTGGCCAACCAGCTCAGATCAGCATCCCAGCTGTTAGCGTTTGACTATTGATTGGGCAGCAAACCTTTCGTCAATAGGCACACATGTGCGGGCAGCCAATTTAACAAATAATTCATAGGAACATAAATCGCGATAACGCCACGGCTGCCACATCGTCATGCCTGTCTGAGCATTGTGACTTTGACTGCAAGACTCTGACTGGCAGTTGTTGCCACAAATTGTTGCCAATTGTTTGCCAAAACAAATACACAAAATCCGCCAAACGGGCACGCCCATTGTTGTAAATATTTGAGCGTTTTGTATTTTGTTCTAATTAATTTTTTTGTTTTTTTTCTTTTTATTTATTTTCTTGCATCGGCCGTGCACCCGCCAAGCATTCAACACATTTGGCGATAAACATCGCGAAAAGCTAAGCAAGCGAACAAACGACATTGGTAAATATGGGCGATTAGCAATGAAGTTTAGCGGGGGCAACACGTGCTCCACGATTCGCCACTCAGACAGGCGAACAATGAATAGCTGAAGAAAAAACATTACGAACAAGCGATCATTATTCTTTCTTAATTTGTATTGCTCTATTGATTCTAGAGTCGCATTATGAAAGTTGTGAAACTTTATGAGTGGCCCTCGCAAGTGTTAAGGCACACATAACAAAAACGTGCCAGTGCACAAATGACTTGCGGAGCAACAGCCAACCAGCAGCGAATGCTTTTAAATTGAAAATGTTGATTGAACTCAAGTTCGTAGCCTAAGTCTTTCGTTCGCTTCGACTACTTACTTAACACAAATGCAGCAAAAGCCGCCAACGTGGCCCGTTGTTTTTAAGCGTGACACCAAACTGTTGTAGTAATTAATAATAGCAGGCAGCAACAACAAATTATGTTTTTAATAACTGTAAATTTGTAGTTGTAAAAATTTACGATTTAATTGCCGAGCGTTTGAATTTATTATGAACGCTAACTTATTTCATTTGTTGAATATATTGTACTATAGTAATCATGTATGCGTGTACCTGTGTATGAGTACGTGTTTCTGTTTTAATGTTTGATCTACTTTATAAGTACATTTGACCTTTAGAAGCGCCGCAGACCACCCAAGCCGCATTGACCTAGGCCTCGACCACTTAGTTTCTATCCGATATCTTGGCCTGACTGGCTAATTGAATGGCGGCTGCAAGAGTCAAGATCATTCAAAGCAACGTCAGTGTTGTCTCCATCACCAACTCCATCATCAAATTCATCTTCATCTCCATCAGCAATTGCAAGTGCAACTGATCCAACTGCTTTTCAGCTATCACAGTCGCTGCATGCAGTTAGCTGTTTAGCATTTTTTGCTGGCCATTTTGGCTCAATCGTGCTCGTCGACAACGTCGTCACCATCGCTATTGCCGTTTTGTTTAACTACAATTACTTATTTAATCATAATTTTGTTCGCGTTTCAACAATCATCAATCATCAAATGCAATGCCGACAGCGGCCGGCAGAATTCTGTGACTGGGCCAACTGTCAGCCTGACAGATTGCCCGCTTTCAGCGAGAGAGCAGACGCTGCCGAGCAGGAAGCCGGAGAAGGAGATGGCAAGCAAGAAGACGATGGCGATGTTGCTGGCCAAGCCAAGTGGAATGTGCTGCATGCCTCAACTATGTGGCAGCACGGCCTGCTGCCCGTTCGCTGCTCCAGCTGTTCAGCGCAAAAAGTAGCGTCAGCGGCAGAACGCTACAATTATCTAGTCAGCAGTCAGTCAGTCAATCGGCTCGTTGAACTTGCAACCGGCGCTCCAGCTTCAGCTATAGCTGTGGCCACAGCCAACACTACTTTTGCCCCGCTGCTACCCTCGCAATCGCACAAATCAATCGATCACGTTTTATAATGCTGCAGCAGACTTGGTTTTTGAAAAAATAAAAAAGAAGAAAAACAAAATGAAAATAAATAAAAATAGAGGAAAAACTGAAGCGCAACTGAATGAACTTTCCAAATGGACAGCGCGCGGCTCGCAAAATGCTGTCGGCGTCAACTGAGCAGCAGCTGCAGTCGGCGCGCAGCATCGCAGCTAGATGGATTGATTGATTGCCTGAAACAGTTAGCAGACATTGTCTGGCTTGGCTTATTGCTATTTATGATCTTGATCTATGGATCGAGGGCAAAAGCACATGCGGCGACGTTGTCGTTGTCGTTGTCGGCCAGCCAGTGCACATGCTGATAATCAGCACGAAGCCATGCCGATGCCGATGCCGACGCCGATGCCGATGCCGATGCCGATGCCAAAGCCGAAGCCGAACCAACTGCAACTGAAACTGATAATGATGCCAGCACTGGCCTTGATTGCGGCTCTGGTCGAGGTTTCTGTTTTTTTTTTTTTCAATCATGTTCGAGTGCAACATTGCAGTGCCGGGCAATCAACGCTTGCTACATGCTGCAGTTACCGCCTAGTTTTTGATTGAAAATATTTTCAAAATTGTTACAGAAAAACCTTTAAGGGTAACACTGCCCCCTACTCGAGCCAATCCAGAGCACAGGTTAAAGAGCTGACTGGTGTTAAGTGCACGATAATCGATTCGACTCGCTGCAGACCAGCCCAATTTTGGTGTTGGCGTTAAACGGCCAAGCGAAAATTGCCTATTTATGGGCTGAAGCATTTACTGACGAAGTTGTTGCTCTTGCTGTTGATATGGCTGGCTCTGGCTGTGGCTGTAACTGCGGCTATGACTGTGGCTGCCAGCAGGCAGGAAACCATATATTTGCATGTCCACAGAAAGAGTCCATTAAATTTTGGGCAAAAACAAAATTGAATAAGAAAAACCGCACAATCAAATATGTGCATTGAAATGCATTACAACAGCTCGTATTGGGCATATAAAAGCGGCGAAAAAATTGACAAAAAATCGCATGAAAACATTTCAACTGGTTAACACAATTCACGAGTTTTTTACAGCGCTTTAATTACGCATGTGCCAAAAAGACGGCGATGTTGAAAAGAAGTGTGCGGTTTTTTCCGTTTTTTTTTTTATTTTGGTAATTTTTAATTTGTGCTGCTCGGCAGCAATCAATGAAAAGTCAATAAAAATCGCCAGCCAGACGTTCACACGATCAGTCAGTCGGTCGCGCACACACGAGCCAAAGAGTTATCATTACGGCTGAGTTTAACATGCGACTTGGGTGCCGACCAGCAACAACAGCAACGTGTTAAGTAGCATTTTATGAGATCATTTGAGATGTCGGCGCTGGCGGAAACAGCAGCAGCTGCAGGTGCGCCATATTTTGCTGCAAGCTGACCAAAAAAAAAAGTTTGCCAAGCTGGCAGTCAGTTAGCATGCTAATTACACGCCAGCAACATGTCGCCAAGCACTTGCAGTTGTTGTTGTTGCTGCTGCAGTTGGCACACACGCACATCAAAAGACTTAGGCAACGAACTTGCTTGCAAACAGCGAAAGGGAACTTTAAGATCAAACGTTATGTAAAACTAAATTAATTACAAAAAAACACCAAAAATATAAACTGCAATTCACTTTGAAATTAGCGAACACAGAATTCAGTTATCGATCGGGATGGCAACTGTTTTGGGCTGCTGCAAATTCGCTAATGATTTATTTAAAGCATATAGCCGGCCACATTGAGGCAGGCCGACCCCGACCTTAACTGATTGACCGGCGGGCCAACGAGGTGGGCGTCATAGACCTGGCCGCACCCTGTATGCGTGGCATTGGCAACGACCCAGCCAACTGACCCAACCCCACTCTTCTATCTGTGGCTGCGTATCAGCGCCTCGGGGGCAAAACGAAATCGACATTGAATGCGCTACCACAAAAATTGTGTAGAGTCCGTCCGTCTGTCTGCCTGTGTGTCTGTCGGTTTGTGGGGGGTGGTGGAATAGGCTGGGCCATTTCCGTTCAATAGCGGCCAAACATGATATCGCACATTTCAATCAATTTACTTATTATTGCCGACATCGACGAACGGCCGGTCTGCCTGCTCTCGGGGCAATCCCGTTAGTATAATAGACCATAAAGGTGCGCTGGAAATATCGGCAAAAATTTCACTGCCGCAACCGCAGAATGTATATAGATATGCATATATATGCTGAATCTTAGTGTAAAGCGTGAGATGCGACCACATGCAAATTTATGCACGACGCGATGCTGCAGCCCAGCTCCACGAAGTGTTCGCCTGACAGACACTTGTCAACATTTTGGCTCTGCCATTTTGTTCTCGACTAAACTATGCAAATATGTGTCAAGCCCGATGGCAATGGCAGAGTCATGTCAGCTGCTTGACAACAACAAATGAAGATCAAAGTTGGCTTATTTATTTTATTTTATATATGCATCACAGCAGTTGGAGTCGGTGTATAAAAGCCGTTACGCCCCTGCAACTGCAACTGCAACTGCAACATCTAGACGGAGCTCAGCAGCCAGCCAAAAGCACTTGGCAAACACTTGGCCTGGCTAAACTTAATGCAGCAGCAGCAGCAGCAACAGCTAAAGCAATAGCTTCGTCGGCAATGGCAACACATTTTTCGCGCCCAAATGTGTTGGAGGCGTTTTGTTGTCCACTTAGAGACGAGGGGCTGTCTGTCCATACCCCAGCAGCCGCCGTCTAGCAGGCAGGCAGGCTGGCAGGCAGGCAAGCAGGCAGCCACTAAGCGTCTTAGGCACACGTCAGACTGTCGCTTCTGTCGGTGGCGTGTGTTGCTGTTTCAGTTGCAACTGTTGTTGCTATTGTTGCTGCAGTTGCCTTTTGTTGCCTTTTGGCGCCCGTTGTTGTTGTTGATTGTGGCATTTTGATTGATTTCTTTTGACTTTTGGCAGCAGTCGCAAATATTTGGTAATCCGACTATCCAGCTAAACCAACGCGTCGGCCAGACTACAAGACGCTTCATCAGCAATTTTAATGCATACGTTAGTATTTTAACACCTTGGAATTGGCAGTTGCAGCGGCCGTTGACTATTTTTGGTATTTTAATGCCAGCTTAGTGCAACTTTCTACCAGAGTCGACAATGCGATAGAGTTGAAGTCAAAAAGTTTCATATGGCTTATTCTGCAAGCGTGTGTGTATGTTTGTGTGTGTGTATGAATGTGTGTGTGTATGTATGTGCGTGTGTCAATGGGTATTTTTTTAAAAGTTGTTCAAGCAAATTGACCATAAACTTGATTTCTGCGCACATTCAGCGACAATTTGTCAAAAATTCTGGCCGCCTTCTCCAGCAGCTCGAGTATTAAGGTCAACGTCAGTATTTAATTGAACACCTGGACGACCACAGCGATGACGCGGTGGCCATTCCGACCAGGCCGACCAGGGCGGTCGACATCTGACAGTGAGTCATGCGATTGGCTTCAAGGTAAAGGCGAACCTTTTTCCATTCTGTAATTGCAGAGCATTCATATATTTCTGCATATGCAAAAGAGCCTGAACATGTTTTGCATAAATGCATTCGAAAAAGCTTAAATTCCAAGTACAAATCAAAGAATCATATTGAATATTTAATATATTTCCCATTTTGTTGTTGTTCGAGATTTGAGATAGCTCCCAATTATAGATGACCGACTGGCAAGGCGACCAGCTGCTAGGTGTTGGATAGTTTTGGGCCCTAATTCGTTTGTGCTTGTTGCCTGGATTTAGCATAATTCGGTTGTTTTCTTGTGGTTGCGACTCAATTCTGTGGCCGAAATGAATCTTCGTGTGGATCGTCGTGATGTTGCGGTGGCTTCCTGACAGCCAATTTGCATTTATTTTATATGCCACAAAGCAACAATGACTTTTGCAGCTCTACAAGCTATCCAGCCACACATTGACGTAGAATGGCAACAGCTCAGCCACGAACACAATGAATGCCAAAAGTAAGCCACCACCACAGCAAAATCCCACATAGCGAAAGTCCTGCAGTCGAAGCTGTTGCACCTGGTTGGGCGTGCTGTAGTCCTTGATCTTCATGCGTTCAGCTTTTACCATATCAATGAAACTATTTCGCATCCAGTAATCAATCAGGCCCGATGAGCGAGCTCTCAAACTGAACATCATCAAAGTTTTCCGGTATACGGACTCGTCGGCCAGCAGGATGCTGAAGGGATAGTTCTGTGACAAACACAGGTCCGAATAACGAAAGAGAGGTCTGTGAAAGTAGCTCTGCAACTCATTCATTACGACCCACTTAATGTGTGTGATTGTATATGCCCAGCTAACGTTGAAGCTGTTTCGCAGCTGAAACAATTCGGTGACATTTCCAGTCAGCCTGAATGCTGCTGCATATTTGGCACGAAAAGCTCCGTCTAAGCTATCAAACTCTGCACGTATACCAAATATTCGCAGATCCGATGCTAGCAGGGCGTCGAAGCTATCGATGGGTGCTTTCATTGGACATATTTTGATAAGCGAAAACATCTGTGCCTGGCAGGCACACAGCACTAGTGGAGCTAGTAACCAGGGCACAAGGCGCATATTACGTAAATAGCAATGAAGCCAAGATGGAACGATGACACGTTCCAGATGGAGCAAAAGGTAACAGGCGCCCAAAGTGGTGAGAAGTAGAGCCAGTGCTTTGGGCTTCAGGATTCTCATAAACATTGCACTCAGCTCTATGTGACGCTCTATTGGCAACATAATGCACCAGCCGGCGTAAAATATGGGAAATGAATACTGATAGTACCTATGAAAAGTCAGCTCATGATAATAATTCCTTAAATATTTCAACTGCATTGCTTACCTGCTCGAAAACTTTGTGGTCATTTGTACAGTGAGTAGGCCGAAATCGACGCTTCCATTTCTTGTGAACTCCAGCATATAGAACTCGCCTAGATTTCTTCCCGGCCGCCAAGACGGATACAGTGCCGTGATATTGGCCCCATGTTTCTTAGCAAAGGCCTCCATCATGCGCCATACGTATCCCGAAATATGCGCCACTCCGTTTGCATCGCGATACAATATAGAATTTGGTTCCGAAAAATCAGGCATGACGCGCAACGGGTAGCCTCTAAGATTAGCCAACTGATTAGGAAACAGTTCCTTTTCTTCTCCAGTTAATTTGGAATTGAGGAATTTTCGCTTGATCAGCGTATAACTAGGAAACGCTAGGAAACTGTAGAGAGTTAAATCACTTCTGTCTTGCTGAAAATAGAGCGCCACATTGAGCATCGCATTATTCAGGCAATACGTTAGCATTTGAGTAGCCAAATAGTCCTTGTCCGATCGATGGATGGAGGTGCTGTCAAAAAGCTCAATAAGCACAGGTGCGTCTCTCAAGTGATTTAGACTCTTAGACAATCCAGCCAGCTCATTCACTTCTAAGCTCGCTGACAAGCAGGCAAAAACAAACAGCTCGCTGGTCTGTTGCTCTTTCAGTTGGGTAAAGGGCATCCGACTTTGCCACACCCACTGTGGCTGGTTGGTTAAGTTGCTGTGTTGCTGCAACCGCTGCCACTCACAGTCCAGCCTGTCGGGATTGTAATAAAATATGCTTTTTCTATCGATGACCTGCAGCACCAAGGCGAACAACTGGTAAATATCTGAAGCGAAGCTTTCATTGCCGTTGACCCACATGATGTCCACCAGCGACCACAAAGGACTGCAGCACACAGAAAGAAAATAACGTGTAATAAGTGTAACGCAATTCATTTTATACTGTTTACCTCTGCTATTGCTTAGGGATATGTCAATTATGGCAATAATATGTTCCTCGAAAATAATTCTTTCTGTATTTGCGTTGGCAGAAAATAAACAAACAAATAAACTGACAGTATAAACATGCAGAACTATTAATCAATTGTGGTTGCATATCGCACTGTGTCGAGTGCCACATAAAAATGTAAGCCTTTAAGGTACAGCTCCTACCCGAATGGCCAGCTGGCCAGGCCAACCTAAAGGGTATCCAAAGTTATTTTTATACAACCCTTTTTTGTTGTTTTGTTTTGTTTTTATCTTGTTCGCTGGATGCCAGAGTTCATACGGCGTTCTTTATGTGTGCAATAAAACATGATGACCATCTTCATTGATCCTTCTTGACAGCAACCACACTCAGTCGGAGAAAGTTTCACTTACAGTATTAATTTCAGGGTCGAAATTTAAATTTGACTTCAACTTCCAATTTTTTCCTTGCGTTTCATCGACATATCAAATAATTTGCAGCAAATTATAAGCGTTAGGCCCAACGAAATAGTGTCAGCCGTCTCTAGTGACACCTACTGCACGATTACGATTCCAAATTGCCCCACATGTCGTGCGGCTGGCAGATCGGCGGGGCATCCCATCTCTGGGTTAGCTTTTCCATAGGCAGCCCACGGTCACGGCCACATAATTTATGGATCGTGTTGTGAGAAATTTGTCAACAAATCGTGGCGCCATAAATTGTTGATTTTTCCTCCTCTGCTTCTTCTTCTTCTTCTTATTTTTCTTTTCCCTCTCCAACTTGTATGCCAATTGTCTCAAGCAAGATCAAGGCTTGAAAATAATATATGAGACTCTATCTGATCAATAATTTCAATTGATTCATTTCGACAATGATTAACACTTCGAATCTCTCTATTTGAATAGAAAACTGAAGCTTTACAGTTAGTTAGCTGATAAGTATGGAGCTATTCGATTGACCAGGCTTGGTATCAGGTGTTGACTCGCCTGCTTAAATAGTCAAAAATCGTGAATACAAATTTGTATTATGCTGCTGCAAGTAAATGTCTCTTATTATGGCGAATAGTAGTCTTCGGTTTATGTTAATCGAATTGGCCCAGACAGACAACCAGCCAAGAGGGGTAAGACGACATGCTGCCGTAGCTCAACAACATCACAACCTCTCAACGGGGACTAAGCCACAATTTGTTAGCTGATACTTGGGTGCCTGTTGCCAGGGTTTTACATAATTTGGTTGTTTTCTTGCGGTTTCCCTACTTGTTTCTTATTTCTGACTCCGAATTGAGTCTTCGTGCTGTTCGTCGTGCCTCTGCGGTGGCTTCTTTGCAGGCGATTTGCATTTATTTTTATTTGCAGGGTAAACAAACAGCAGACAAAAAACACCAACAACACAAGGTGTAAGATGGAAGCTTTGTTTAGAAAATTTTCACTTACCCGAAACGCCACCGGCTACAGACTGTCCGGATCCACAACTAATACCAGTAGGACGTGGCAAGCGTATACTTGTTCCTATTTGCTAAAGGAACTGCATGACTAATTGCCACTGAAGTAGTGTAGATATCGATCCTTAAAGAGAGCGTGCGGGCCTAGAACTAGCTAGGCGATTACACAATTTAGCCTATTGTTTCATTCATCAGTCGAACTGTTGCCTAAGTTGTGGTGTCAGCGTTTTTAAGGGCTGACTTGTAAAACTCTATGAACTCAATTACTATGGCATTGTTAAACATTGTCTGGCAGAACTAGATAAAGAGCTCGCCAACGTCGAGCTATGAAAGCAAAAGTTTCCGCTTGGACAAATGTTGTTAGCCTGACCTGTCGCCAGCGCCAAAACAGTTGGCTGCCCACTTGGCTGGGTTAACAAAACAAGCGCGTCGACAATGGTCAAATGTGCAGGCCAAAGTGAAGATGCAGCTGGGATCGCAGACCCCAAGCCACGACCGCGAGACACTTGCATACAATGAATTGTTTGTCTTCACACACACACACACACATACAGATATAGAGGGAGAGAGACACCCACATGGCTGCACACTTGTGGCTGTGGATCGGTCTTAAGCTTTGCCCCTGCACAAGACGGGCAGCGATGTCCATGTCCATGTCCATGTCATCATCATCATCATTATCATCATTGTTGTCGTCGTGCTTGCAGTGTCTCTATGGCCGTTCCTCCGTCCGACCGTCTGGCTAGCACTTGTTTTATCGTCATTTTACAAGCATTTTTCATAAATTACAGTTTATTGTTGTTTGATAAACGGCCAACGGTGGGCGCTACTTGTATTTGTATTTTGTGTGTCCAGCAACGACACGCAAATAAAACCCAAACAAGAAATTATTGTAGTTTTTATTGTATTAACGTCAGCATCGTTGGCGTCGTCTGCCGCTGCTTGCCTCACTTGCTTGATAAGTTAAGCGTTGACATCTTTATGTGCGTGTGTGGGCACTAAACAAGCAAACAAACCCAGCGTCATCATCGGCAGACTGCAGACAGCAGTCGGCAGTCCACAGTCCACAGTCTGCAGTCTGCAGTGGACCATCGACAGTTGCCCAGCTGCCAGTTGGCAGCTGGCAGTTGGCAACCACAAACCGAGCAGGAGCCATCATAAAAATCAAATAAACAAATGCGTGTTCAATTTTAGGCTGCCTCGCGTCATGCGTTGATGACAATTAAAAATTCATGATGCGCTCCTTAACGAGCATGAGAACTTCTTGTGACTTGGCTTCAAAAGACTTGTGTTCAAATTAAATGTTTCGAAATGGTAAATGGTTAACACATAGCAGATGCAGTTGGGGCGTATTCTGAGATGTATTTATTTATTGTTAAGAGCTTAATAAAAACAAGTAAGAGTATTTTGGTCGAGACAACTTGACTAGGAGAGACCGTGAACTTTTGTATTTCAATCATTATACAGCGTATAATCTTCATACTTACCAAAAAACACAAGCGATTTGCCACACCTCTTTCTGCCTGTTACACACATTTTTACAAAAGCGTTTCCATTATAGATGGTTGCTTGTTATAATAATGTGTTAAATTATTGAATTTGAAGAAAGACTTTTATATTCAGATTTATAGCTGTAATTTTAAATTATTTTATATAATTTTCATAAATATTATTACACCAATAATTAAACTAAATTATCTAACCTGAATGTTAACTTCTTTGAAGCTTTCTTAGCTTTAAATTTTAAAGCCTAAAATATACTGAGTGGACCTTCTGTACTGATACACCAAGCACACCTTGTATGCCATGGGAAATCTGAAGAAATAGTAGTTGATATAAATGCTATAATATCTTTAAAGCTATGTGCTAAAAACATTGACTAAGCCACTTGCCTATATTCAAATGTTCTTGTAACTAAAAATATGAATATATAACCAAAATAAAATGTTAACAGTACACAACACTCCTAGTTAGCCGTCAAAAGCCAGGTTAATGAACGAATTTGTAAGCCAACTGGGTGGAACCAAAACTAAGTTATTGAAACTGAAATGAAATATTTTGAAAAATGTATCCTTATTTCGAATTGAATGCAAGAGTTCGCTCCACCCTCGCCGAATATGTATATGTGTGAGTCGGCGCTATTCAAATGTTAAATAAAATCAAACTTGCCCAGTTTTGTGATTTACGATTTCGCTGTTGGCCCCTCAGGGCGCCAGAGCGCAAATTACCAATGTAAAAATGCATGAAGTGAGCGAGTCCCGAGTGTGCGGCGTTTGCGGCATTTGCATAATTTTATGGTCGCAAATTCCACTAAAACAACTTAATTAGATATAAAAAAATGTAAAATATAAAAAATATAAGTAAAGAGGCTTATTTGAATGCACTTAAATAAACAAAATCAAATATGGAGAGCATGTCCCTTCGGGCAGCTGCCATTGATTTATTGCCTAGCTGTCTGCCAATAGCACCATTTCGGTAACTGAAGCTGAGTGATTTAGCTGCAAGTAGCCGATTGAACGAGTGACTTATCTGGACGGGCAAATAAACTGGCTGCCGAGTGCAACGCCCGCCATTTAGCTGCTCGCAACGCGTTCGTCTTTAATGGCCGCTAATCTAGTTAACAGTTTTTCAATTATAAACGATTTTGTGCAGCTGATAATAAATGCGATAAAACATATTTGTGGCCAGGCCGATGCCAGGCGGCGATTACATCACAGGCAACGGGCAGTCAAGCAGTCGGGCTGTCGGGCTGTCGGGCAGTCGGGCGTATTGCGGTTGCAAATGTCAAAATAATTTGCTTTTTAGCTGTGTCTCGTTATCTCTCGCCCAGTTGGCTGCAGGCGTTAATTGATTTAGTGGCTACTACTATGTAGTTACAAACAAATCATTAAAAACCAGAAACATTAATGCTCAGATGGGAGCTGATATCATTAGAGGGCCGCCCTTTGATTTAGACAATCTCTAATTGGCATTTGGGGCAGCAATCTCTGAGTCATTTCTCAATTCAATAGATGGCTATAAAATTGCGTATTGAGAAATCGCCACGCTGCGACGCCTAGAGGCGGCTATGTGCTTCAAACAATCTTTCTTGGCAACAAATAAAATTAATGAGCTTCAAGCTGGACGTGGACAACAAAAAAAGGGGGCAGCAAAAAAACACTGCTGCACCGCTAACCCAGTTCAAGTGGCTTGCAAATGTCAGTAAGGCATTTTTTGATAAATGTGCCAAGCGACGACGTTTCTATGCCAAACGAAAATGAAAATGAAAATGTTTATGTGGCCCCTCCCGAAAGGTTGCCGTCGCCCTCGTCTCCGTCGCGGTCGCAGTCACAGTCACAGTCACATCATAATGATGCCCTCAATCCGTGCCAGTCAGCCAGTCCTTCACCAAGTCGTGCGCCGTCAACAAGGAATATGTCAGAGGCTGAGGCTGCTGCTGCGGCTGCTGCTGAGACCTCAACTCCAGTCTCAAGTCTGTTCGGTGGCTCGACGTGTGCCTGTTTAGCAAACATTGTCTGGGCCGTGCTACAGCCACATTTGACGAGAAGTCAAAATGTTGCAAATGTGTTTGCTGCTTTACATTTATTTTTTGGTTTTTTTTTTTTTGCTTCTATCCGCGTGACAGCTTTGGGCCATCAAATTGCGAGCTAATGTCGAAAATATAGCTATGCAAAACTGAAGCCAAATCCGAGTTAGACAATCGCACATGTCTGTGCCGTAGGCGCTTCTGCTGCGCCGAATTTCAAAATTGCGCCACAGAACTCGCCATTAATAGACTGTCGACTGACAGTCAATAAAATTATAAATGGCCCTCGTTAAATTGAACTATTTTCGCATTTTTCTGTTATTTTTTGTTGGCCCCAGCAACGCTTCACTGCTCCGACGCTTCTGTTGAAATACCGCGCATTTAAAACTAATTAAAATATTACGGGCGTGGTGTGTGTGTGCTTCGATGCAGTTGTAATTAAATTAATTGCCAACAACTGCCGCTGGCCTGGCCCAAGCAGTTGCATAATTCTTCTGGCTTACTACTATTGTTTTTATTACGGGCAATTTTATGGACATGCAGTGATTTATAGCAACCATGCTGCGAAGGAGCTAGGCAAATTAGTACAGCTGCAGGCAGCTATGACTTGTTGATGAGTTCTTTACGTAATCTAGGGTATAACGAGAAGACGGGAGACGAGAAAAAGCCAAAGTCAAAGGACACAGCTTCCAGCACTAGAAACATTAGTCTAATCTTGTTAGTCTAATTAATTTTAGTACAATCAGCTCTAACAACACTCACTCCTCTCCAGAGCTAAAAGTAATCTTCCAGACTATTGACAAATTCGCTTTAATGAAAACAAAAGCAATTTCGCTGCAATTATGAGCAGCTAGTCCGTGCTCTTCAACGCCAAGTAGTGTGCGCATAACAATCTGTGTTTGCTTTAGGGCAGCTCATGATGGCCAACAGCGCTGCTAAAGAGCTGAAATGTATATGGCATGAATGCGATTACGGGCACAAGTGTATGGCATGCAGTTTGCAGTGCTTTTGAATGGCAAAACCAGGAAGTCTATGACAATTATAAATCATCTTCGCCTTGGCAAATTTACAGCTGTCATGATGAGCACTTCACTTGCCATCTTCAGACAGCCATAAACAGTTGCTCATTACACAGACACCCACCCAAATAAATGGGGTAAGGGTAAGTCAAGCGTTGCGCTCAGCACCTCACAGTGCCGCAGCATTAGAGTAAACACGAACACCAACATCAACAGCAACGGCAACAGCAACAGCGATATGCACAACATCAACAAAGCAGCCTCAGCGCTGGAGCAGTTAAGCAGGGCGTTGCAAGTGGTATTTATTTTGGGGGCCGAGGCAGCTAACTGGGTTTTATTCCTGAGACGCGCCGCGAACATAAAACACAAAATAAAGATTTGTGCCCGCCAGCCCCGCAGCCCGCTGTCAAATTTTATTTTTTTTGGACATGCTGCAAAAGGTTCTTCTCTTAGATTAGAAAAGCGTGTGCTTGTAATTTCTTCTCCTCAAGTATTTTCACATGTTGCAGCGTCATAAAGCCGAGCCAGGTCGTCGTGTCGACTCGCTGTTGCAGTTGCTGTATTTAAAATACCCTGTATGCCATGCTAATGGCCAAGCAAGGTATACTGGTGTTGATGAAAAGTATGTATCACAGCCTAGCTGTACATGTCTGTCTATACGCCCGTCCATATGAAGAAGTACTTTTTGGCAATATGAAGAGCTGCAGATTTCAAATATATATTCTTGTATATCGTTGTAGTATGGTAACATACTTTAGTTCACCATAAGAATCCATCATATGACACAAAGAAGTTGTCGGCACTATAAACAGATTTCAGTTTATGAATGAATGCTTTCTGCACTAGTCAGCCTACAAAACTTGATAAAATGAATTGAAATCATTGTCAAAAACCGACTCTTACAGAACACAAAAACTATGCAAATAGTCAACTCAATGTACGCAGTCTATATACCCACATAAATGAGGAACTCGCTATTTAATATCTTTATTAAAATATATATTTATAGATCACTTGTTCATTCAGTTCTATTCCATGTGTCTCATGGGTGGCTTTATTATTTTAAATAAATAAAATGAAATATGCTGCGAATGCTTACTTCAGTGCTGTATGGTA